AACCTAACAATGCTAAAAAGCACAAGGAAATTCTATTGAAAATTCAAGACTTGTCAGTATACTTAGTAGGATTTGGGATCGAAATTCTGGGTATGAGCTAATTTTAATGGAACATTACAGTGGACTGTATGGTGATGGTGATGTGTAATCTCATTTTGTCACAGTCCAAGAAAATCAGGTGTATCTTTAAAAACAGAATTTTAGCCTAAACCATTTGGGAAAAGGCCTGCATGCTTAACTACAATGTTCCAATAAAAGCAGCAGAAGTCCTCTTCTAGTACCTCAATACATGTTTTATTTGCTAAGGTTACTTTTCTACATGTATCGTCTCACTATAATCACCCTATTATTAGACTCTAGCTGGAGTCAATGATCAGTTAAGTGACCGCTAGAATCTAACTCATTCTAAGTGGAGTCACGGGGAAAAAACATGACACCTACAGCAGATATTTAGGAGATTAGAAGCACAAGAGCTCACATTTCTTGGAATAAAGATAAAATAAACATGACCTAGACACTGATAAAGGGGCATTTGCTTGACTAATGATTGCTTTTTGAGTAACATGATGAAAACCCATAAGGACTATGAATCAGGAAAGTGACAAACCTCACGTGTTCTTCACAAATGTCTCGTAGTCCGATGCAGAAGGTGGTCAGTCAAAGTCTGGGTGAAATTCTGTCAGACTTGTGCCTCTTTTATCCAGAAATCATCGATTGAAGGTCTCAGATACAAGTTTATGATCTCAGCCAAGTTTTGCAAAGTTTGCAGAGAGCGCGCATCACTCAAAAGATGCACTTGACAACAAAAGCGCTGTGCGTGCGCGCCGCCGGCAGAATGTGCTTACGTCAGTACAGTACGTGCTTCATCTTCTAGACCAGGGCTACTCAATTACAAACTCAAAAGGCCCACTTACCAAATGTACAGTGTTTCCAGGGTCTGAAAAAGTCTCGGTGTATTTCCAAACTTAAAACTTCGAACAAAAATGTAGTAAATCCACATGGAACATTTGAACTATAAATACACGAGCTAGATGGCTAGGTATAGCTAAGCTCCGTCTAGCTAAGCTAAGGGCGCTCTGCTCCCATTCCTCCTGTACCGCTGTCACTGCGCATGCGTCCTGTAGAGCCGCTCTTCTGTCTGGATCATGTCAGTCGATCGCATCAATACTTCTGTACCACAGAACATTTAAAACGTTCATGAGCAGCAAAAAGAAAGTTTGGAGTGAGCGAGAAACTTGTGAGGGACTGGCAAAAAGCGGGATTGGAGAACACAGCTTCACGGCAATTCTAATTGGAACTGATGCAGAGTCTGACTATAGCTACACAGATGAGGAAGCGGCGCCCCGTTTACTCATGGATCTATTAAAATAATGAACTCTGGATGTCGTGGAGTTGCTCAGAAGTGACACAGAGGGTGAAGAATTCAGTGGATTTAGTTCAACTTGTTATGTTACGTTGTTTATGCTATAGTTATCTGACTTAATAACTGACATAAAACCTAATGTAATATCTCACGTTAACGGCCTGTTGTTGTCTGTTCTATTTTTATTATTGCAACTTGCCTCTCAAGATAAAATGTGTGTTCTTGGTCTCTGATTTTATAAAATGCATTTCCCCAAAAAAGTGCGACTTATAGTCCGGTGCAGCTTATATGTTTTTTCTTCTTCATTATGCATTGCATTATGCATGCTTTGTCATTGCATTTGGGTAAGGATCCGGACAGTAGTCCACCAATTCAGTACCTCTAAATATATAAGAGATAGAAATATAGAGACATAAACATCATTGACCAACACTTGGTAATCGTAGCTTACAAAGATTCCTTTATTTGGAATTATTGTAAATGACCTATATGTTTTCTATGGAAGACAAATAGTTTCATCAGATTTATCTTCATTTTAATGATGGTGAATTTTTTAACGCTGAAAAAGATATGTTGGAATTGCTTTCATTCTGAATTATATAGTGAGGCAGATATGAGTCCTGCGCGCTCCTCTGTGAGTTTATGGATATAATAGCAGCACGGAGCGGTGAGGACAGCAGGAGGAGAGCGGCTCCAGAACTTCTGTTGCTGTCCACAGTCTTTATCAAAGGTAAGAGTGGATTCACTGTATGTTTTGGAGGGGACTTTATTTTGTATTTTTCTCGTATGAGTAACATCAGCGCACCTAACAGGGATTGTATAGAGAAGTCTGTGTGTGTGTGTACATGAGCAATCGTGCTGTTCTTTGGCCCACCTCCTCCAACCTGAGGCTCCTCACTTTTGTACAAAAAATTTGTTTAATGTGACGTTAATGATCTCAGTTAGACCCTCGTCCTCCACAATGTTAACAGGCCTACATGCAGTAGCCACCCATTTGGCTATGGCTGCAGTAAGTTTATTTTTAGTTGTGGTATCCATGTGCCTGTGTGGAAAGTATGGAACTATTAAAATATAGTAAAAACTATTAAGTATGGTATCGTCCACTGTCACCTGGTTATGACACAAAGGAGTTTTTATAACATTACTTGCAGTGGTCACAGCTTATGTAAAAACTAGTTCACTAGGTCACAAAGAGCGTTAATCTTGCAATAAAAAAAAATTACCCCTGTTAAAATGGTTTTGCGTTAACTTGTTAATAACCAGATATTTTTGACAGCACTCATTTGAACAGAATTCTATTGTTTTAACATATATTTCCTAGTGAAACCATTCTCATGTTTCTTCTACAGGGTGATGTGGCACTAGGAGGACTTTATACCAGATGCTCTACCTGTTCCTGTGTTTTGAGGAAGAAGATTCAAGGTTCTTTATCATTCAAGCATGTGAGAGAAACACATGGGGCATGTACAATTCTAATGTTCACGTGATCCTGTTCTGTTCCATTATTGTATTAGAGAGTAATAAGTGCTTTAAGTATCTTTAAACATGTACAACACAGAGTAGATCATCAGAATGTAATCATGTGTTATTCCTGTGTCCACAGAGACCAGAGTGTCTTCACTGGAATAAGTCCTCACACTGTCCAACTCCAAACTGTGAGTCACTGTACCTGTGCTCTGTGTTTGATTCTATTTAAGATAATACAGAACTGTGGAAAACTAAAGATTGTTTATGTATTCTTTTACTTTAAAACCCTTTAAGGACATTTGACATATTCAAGTATTTGTGTCGACAGGATTAAATAATATATAACAAATAAAATAAATAAAATAAAAAGGTACATTTTCATGATAAGGTAACGTCAGATAAATATGTGTATTTAGCATAATTTGATCACGTTTCATCAACATGAAAAAGTTATGTTCATGTTCTGAGAAAAATATGGTAGAGGGGATTGAATAAGTTTCGAAGCCTTAACATGATTTTATTTGCACACAAATGATTCCATATTTAAACTAATCCAGCAACCTTTTTTTTTTTTTCAGGTGTGTGTGATTCAGATCTACCTGGAGACTCGTGACTCGTCGTAGAGGAAAAGGGTCGGACTTTCAAATTGAAAGTGCAAATATATTTTTCTATAAAGTCTGTGTCTGTTTGAAGCCTCCGCCCGTTTTCCAGAGGAACCTTCTGTATCTGTGTGAAGAGCTTTGCAGCTGTGTTCACCATGAACATTTGTGCTGTGATCATTCTCATGGGGACACTGGTGAACGGAGCCACGTCAAGTGAGTAGTTTGATTTGTTTTAGTGTGACTCCGAGATAGACCATTGTTTATGAAGAAGAAGAAAACATTCATTACAATAGTTTCAGTTCAGTTGCAGATATAATTGATGTAATAGATATAACAGTGTAAAGTCATATCTATCCCAGGTGAAGAGTTACTTGGAATGAGCCGGTGTGTTGGTTTTGATTATTTACCCAGCTACACATTACGCTGATGCTCAGGATGAATTCTGATTGGTTGAAATGGCTCTTATTACACTGTTTTCTGATCTGTGTGATAATGTTTCCTCCTCATAACAAACAGACCAGACAGAGGTGGGACTTGCAAGTCGTAACTTGGATTTAAGTTAGATTTGAGTCACTATTTTTAGGACCTGAGATTTGACTTAAAATGAAGTGATGCTTGGGACTTGACTTGGACTTGAAGGTCAATGACTTGGGACTTGACTTGGACTTGAGTTCTGTGACTTGAGAAGACTTCTCTGTGTGAAAATACTTTTCTCTTAACAGTTGATAAATGTTGCACTTTACAGTCTGTCCCTGTTCTCTGTTTGTTACTTTGGATATAACTGAAGTACTGTGATGTGGTATTATCAAATGTACTACAGTAATATACAGTACAACACAGTAAAACAGAGGGAACCACAAAAAACAAGATCCTTCCATTTCAGTGCAGACTACTTGACAAAATAACTGTTATACTATAATAACTGTTGTACTTTTAAATCTTAATTATTTCTATTCTGACCAGAATGATTCACAATAAGATCTTGGCAAGGAATTTAAAAAGAAAAAAATTGCATTTCCACAACTCTTATATAAATACTCCTACATAAATATACCATGATTTTTTTTAAGTACAATTTAGTTTAAAAATCATATAAATAGCAAAAACCAAAACAAGACTTGAAGCTCAAAGCAGACGACTTGGACTTGACCTGGACTTATGGGCCAGTGACTCTAGATTTACTTGAGACTTGTAAAACAACGACTTGGTACCTGGAGTTGTTTTGTTTTGTTTCATTCACACGTTTAGGTGTGGGCAGGTCTATGGAAATGGAGTTCAGTCCTGGGGGATTGTTTTTGGTGAATATTGTATTTCCAAAACATTAAAAGATAACACAGTTAGCTAAGGACTTTTATTCTAATTCCAACAGAGTGCCTCGGAGTTTTTTCACCACTTTTCATTTTATCACAGTTAGCTTTTGAGCCTTGTCCTTGAGGAGCACATGTTGTGGACTTTGAACTAAGACACCCTGAAGACACCTCTCACTTCCTCTGTGTTTTTACCCCCTCATTAATGTTTTATCAAACACAAGAAGGACCACTTGAAATGAATGCACTCATTATCAGCTCTTTTCATGTTGTTTTTTTTTTTATTATTTTGTAAGAATTATTAAAATGTACAAAAGACGACACATACAACAAAACAATATATTATCTGCGATGGGTCCCTGTGTTCCAGAAGAGTCAGTCATTGAAAGCAAACAACATGTCTATCGGGCATTTTTTAATTACAATAACAATAATAACAATAATGGTAAAAAAATATGACGAATGGTGGCTCTTGTGGGCAGATTCTTGTGGGTTCACCAGGCTGGAGCTGTATTGGCCAGTCGTCGCATTCGCCTGAGGAAAAGCAATGAAAAACAATTAGAAAAAAAGAACATTTGGCGAGGACGCTGACCTTTGTTCATGATGTTAGTGGTTATAGGGGCAAATTTGGAGCCAGTTCCATATTAGGCATAAGAATTTATTAACAAAACAAAATGACGAAATGAAAACACCAGGATCGTGCAGAGCAGCTTAATACAAACATATTAAGACCAAATTCTACAGTGTAAATAACAGTGTAAATAAAGAAACATAAATGAAAAATTGTGCCCAAATATTAGAATGGTAGTGTCTGTACTGGGGTAAGACAAATTTTGCTCAAATACAAAAAAAAATAAAAAACTGGGTAAAAAGTTTTAAAAATATAATAATAAAAGATTTCCTGTGCCATCATATAATCAGCTGAACTTCATAGGCATATATTTCTTCCATCCTCCTCACCTGGTGTTTCTGTCTTGGTCTCTGATCTTCTTTTCCATCTCGGCGTCTGTCAATGTCTCCAGCAGGGGGCACCACTGGTCTGCGTCTCCAGTGTTTCTTATGGCGATTTCCACAGTGGGCAATGGGTTCTCACTGAAACCAAACCAAAAACTTAGTCATTTTCCAGTTTGATTTTTAGATTTGTGGTTGTGTTATTGTATAAGATAAGACTGTAGAAGAGCATTAACATTTGAGAAGACTGAGATATGAAGTGCTACACTAATACAGGAGTCAAATGCATTTATTTGAACATTTAGACCATAAGGTTTGCAGGTTTTATTCAGAATAAAGTAAGATATTGTGTCATCTACAATGGACATTTCAATCCCACAACAACGATATTGTGGCCAAACCTCCATGTCAAAGCCTGATGTCGTCAGATCTCAGTAGCTAAGAAGGACTGGTCAGTACTTGGATAGGAGACCGCTGGGAAAAGCAGGTGCCACAGTGGGGCATTGTGTCCTTAAGCAAGACATGTGTAAAGTCCCTCAGTCGTCCAGGTAGGATCCATGGCAAAGGAGAAATTCATTCATTTGTTAAATGGACTAAAGTTTATTTAGGTGGAAAACATTTCACAACTCATCCAAGCTGCTTCTTCAGTTCTGGTCGGACGCTGGTGGACACTGCCTTATATCTGCTTGCAGGGAGGAGCTAACTCCACTGAAACTATTCTGAAACTAACACTCTACTTGTTTACAGGTTCTGTTTGTCAGTTGGGCCTATTGAAGTGCACTGAGTGTGGGGTCATATTAGCAGAAACAGGCCCATAACGGGTGCTTTTACACCTCTGGACCTCTTAGACAACACACTTCACCCACATTGCCTGGGGTGAAAGTGGTGTGTGTGTGTTGGTGGGAGGGGCCGATGGCGCAGATTGGCAGCCACGCTTTGGTCAGTCTGTCCAAGGGCAGCTGTGGCTACAATAGTATCTTACCACCACCAGGTATGACATGAATGAGGAATGCACCAAACTGTAAAACAACTTGGAGCATCTAGAAAAGCACTATATAAGACTAATGCATTCTTCTCCTTCTCCTTCTACTTCTTCTACTTTTCCACCATTTTCTTTTCCTTCATCTCCTTCTTTTGGTATTTTTGCACAGCCCTCATCTGCATTTACATATTCCTGACCCACAGAATGTGATGACCTGCAGCATTACCTGAAGGCGTAGGTTCTCTGGTGCCAGCTGAGTTGTCCCCTGATGCTGTAGGCGATGGTGGTCACAAACTCTCCCCCGAGACCCAGCTCTGAGCACAGCTTCAGGGCAAACTTCTCCGGAGAATTCTCCCTCTCCGACATGTCCCACTCAAACTGATCCACCAGCGAGATGTTCCCCACGTGAATGTTCAGCTGCACACAGACCATCAGGTTCAAATATTAGGTCAGAACCTACACAATGCAATAATTTCAATACAATGCCATGTCTTCATAGAGTTATTCGTGCCTGTAATGTTCCACAGTTTGGCATTAAAGGTCCTATATCAATCCTAAGCCTAAATCAATATTGACTCTTCTGAGCTTTAAGACATGTTTGAATTCTGTTACCTCTTCAAAAACAGACCTGGACTTGTGTTTTGTTTCATTCACATGTGTCTGAGTAACTCTTTATTATTAGTCTGTTTACATCTCCAAAGCTCAAAATGTTCTGTTCCACCTTGTGATGTCATGAAGCAGTACTTTTCAACTTAACAGCTCCTTTTACCTTTTGTTCAGTAGAGATTAGAAATGAATTCTGATCACATTTGTGGAGTAATAAGTAAACCTCTCACGGTAACAAAATTTGAAGTACAATATATTGTTTCAGAAAAGCACTGCAATAAACTAAAACTGCTTTATGCCATTGATAAAATAACAATAATGCAAGATAATCTTTGTAAACCATTTTTAAATAGACAGTGTTATTAAGAGGCATAAACTGCAGCAAATACACAGCAGAATGAAGATATAATTAGGGCTGTCACGGTTAGGGAATTTTTCCTGCGGTTTAGCGGCTCAACAGCACGGTATGCCATGATATCATACCCCCTCCCCCCCCCCCCCCCCCCCCATCCCCCAGAGTTACAATATTTCCAGCAACAGTGAAAACTCTCTCTGATGACGCGCTTGTTGAGCAGATGCACATGTACCTTGGTTGTTGCGCAGATATAGCGTGTGTAGCGTGGGAGAAGTAACATTTTTTTTTGGAACAAGTGCTACTGCATCTCTCCAGCTCTCACTGTGGCCGCTCGGGTCAGAGTTGGACACCCATGGACTTAAGAGAGAGGGCCCCTAGCGCGAGCACGCAGAGCACGTGTACGCAAAGCGGTCAGGCGACGGCTGCACTTGAGTTCTGCGCGGGTCCTTTCGCCTGCGGTCACCAGACGGTCTACGCAGGCGCACCTTAGTCTTGGGTTAGTCCTGGGTTAGTCCTAGGTTATCACAGGCAGGGGAGTTAACAGTTCTGGGCAGGTGCGGGTTTCTAAAAATGAATCCAGGCAGGACTATGGGTCGGGTCACGTTGGTCACGTGCGGTGATCGCGGTGGCCCAATATGCACCATTTTTGGGGTTATTGCGACAGCACGAGATATAATTAGCCACAGAACTTACTTTTCAACTCAAATCTTATCAAATTACAAACAAAAATATCCCCACTACTGAAAAGAAATTGTATAGATGATAAATATTGAGCCCCAAACTATATTATTCCAGCTTTCTTGTATTGAATGGTAAGTCAATACAGTAATTATTGTAACAGATATTGTAATAAGATTATTACAATGACATGAAAACAGCAAAAAACATCTGATTTCAGAAGCCATAATATGGAACATGCTGCTTTTAAAACCCATTTTGTATTTTCCCTGGAGTTTTCATGACTACTTTAAAACTTTTTCAGGAGTGCTTGCTCATGTGTGAATTGTGTCTCCATGGTAACTTCTGAACACTCCACCATACAGACACATGTAGAACACCCCTCCCAGCGTGATGTCAGTGCACAGTATCATCAGAAGTTAGATGTGAGTTTTGGACTAACCTTAATGATGACTCTCTGGTCCGTCTGCTCGTCCAGGATGCTGTCTGTGGGGTACGACTCAATCTGTTGGCGAATGGCGGAGGCGATGGCTGGAACAAACGCCAGAGGATTCAAGTCCAGGTCGTCACAAAGGATCTCCGCAAACATCTCCGGAGTCATCAGCTTCTCTGGAGAGGCAGACAATACATAATACACAACACATTACAGTTTCTTTTAGAACTGATTTTTTAGAAGTATTGATGTTTTTAGAGCTCTTAACTGCCTTGCACCTCCCTGCTTGAATGAACTCCTGTCCACAATTTAAACGAGGGCTTAAGGTCAAACAACCAGCTTCTACTGGAAGTCATCACCGTGAGGTTCAAACACCGGGGTGATCGGGCTTTCTTTTACACAATGCACCTTTAAGCTTATCCTTCATTTATGGGAATAAGCAGGTGACAATACGCCAAGTTACAGGTCAGTGGGGGTCTCACAGTTTCTTGGATTTTTTTGTGTGCAATTTTGCAATTTTTTACAGCGCATGAACACGTATTGTGTATTACAGGTGGGTAGTAATTACACACAGGTGGGTCAGGACTAAACCAGGACTAAACCAGGACTAAACCAGGACTAAACCAGGACTTAAGAGAGAAAACGCTGAGCAGTTTGTCCACAAAGCGCAATTGGGCAATTGCCGCATTTAACTCCGTGAGGTGCGGAGCTGAGCCAGACCTTTCTCCTGCGGTCACCTCTGAGCCCGTCCTGACGGTGAGTCCTGTTTCAGTCCTGGTTTAGTCCTGGTTTAGTCCTGGTTTAGTCCTGGTTTAGTCCTAGTTCAGTCCCAGATTAGTCCTCCTCTTCAGTCCTGGAATCAGTCCTGGGTTAGTCCTGGTTTAGTCTTGGTTCAGTCCGTGGCGTAGGCAGCGCAAAAATTTGATATAATCTCGGGTTAACGGGCAGGTGCGGTCCTGTACTGCGCAGTTGCGGTGTTGTACTGCGGGGGTGCGGTGTTGTACTGGAGGTCTCCAAAAATGGACCCGTGCGGTACTCTGTGCTGTAGGCTCCATTACGGAATAAATGAATCTTCAGTTTGTTACATAAAGAAGGAGGAAAATAACACAAGGACGACAGCAGCAATACGTTTTAAGAAGGAAGTAAAAAGGGTTGCACCTGTCCTGTCTGAGAAAAGTGTATAAAGGGTGTGCTGAGGGGTTTTACAGCCTTAAAACAGATAAAATAATTGTAAAATATAAAGTTGACTACTTCGCTGATTTCACCTGTCGCGGGTTATTTTTAGAACGTAACCCCCGCGATAAACGAGGGACACTGTACTCTCACCTCACAATCTGTGCACATGGACTCACACTTGTCCCGACCGGGACGGAAAAACGGAGAATTTCTTGTACAAGTCATTGTTAAATGCGCATTTGTGCTTCGGTATGTTGCAGACTGACCGACTGTTTGTGTCTCGCTCCTTCTGAGTCACAGAGAACTACGAGAGATGCTCATTTTAATGCCTCCAATGAACGGTACTGAAAACCCGGACATTTGCCCCGGACATGACGCAAAATACGGACATGTCCGGGGAAAAACGGATGTTTGGTCACCCTAATTAAGCCTTTCTATCTTCATGGAGACCAAACCAGACCAAGTCTTTCAAGGCATTTTTGAGCTCTAAAAAACCACCTGTAATTGAATAAAGGTAAAGTAGAGCTGTTTAACGTCATAATGTGGAACATTCCAGGCAGAATAATGACATCTCCATAGAAACAAGCAGGTGACGGACCCCAAACCATAAAGTTACACAGTGCACCTTTAAATTGCCCATCCTTAACATTACTGCAGTTACCGTTCATGTTCCAGGTGAAAGCGTCTCTGAGCTTCTGTCCCTCGATCTCCATGTCGAGGCGGATGGGGACCAGGACTTCAGGCTGAGTGGCGTTTTCATGGATAACAGCCGGATCGTGGTCATCAAAACTAAGAAAAAGAAATGGCATTATTGGTGATTTTCAGGTACTACAATGTTACTCTGTATTTTACCACGAAATCCAAAAGGTAAATTCACAACTGTTGAACCTGGTATTTTCAATTACTGACTAAACTCAAGAACTCACTGTATTACAACATCATTTTACACTTTAACAATGTTAATTTTAGCTGCCCCCCATCTGTATTCATTAATATACTGTAACGGCATCTGAAATCCAGCAATTAGAGGACCAGAGAGTCACTGAGAGATGGAGTTTTTTGTAGCCTCTCCACAGATATGACCTGACAGAAAGGTTTAATGCCATTCTGTGAAACATTACAGACAAAGCTCCACAGAGAAAAGCATCTGACGGACCTTCCACCAGAAAAGTTACATAATGCACCTTTAAGATTATCCATCTCTATAGGGATAAGCAGGTGATAATACTCGACAAAGTCACAGATCAGCTCTGTGGACAGGCAACCCTTTTCCATGACTTAACAGCACCTACATGTGTAGAATTTATCATACTTTTGGGACTTAATATGAAATGTAAACCCTTTCCACTCACCTTATGGTTTTGGGATTATAGTTTTTAAACATTCAAAATAATGTCAGTGCATTTATTGACGTCTCTTCAAAAAAAAAAAAGGTGCAGATGTTTGGAAATAATCATAATAGCCTAATGATAGTTGCGTGAAATAGATGCAATATAAAATGTAATATAAAATGCCATGACTTTTCCAGGCCTGGAAAATTTTCAATTTACATGATTTCTATGACCGTGGGAACCCTGCTGCTCACAGTACGAATGCATGTGAAAATGTATTTAAGCAATTAAACAACTGTACTTAGGTAAATCATATACTAGATACTTATATTGTCACAATACTAATATACAAACATTTTAAACTTGATTTCGACACTAAGGAACAGACTTGATGCTCAATACCAATTCCAGTACCACAATGATACAAAAAACATCTTTATTTAGATAATAGAATGTGATTTTCAGCATTAAATAATGGTATTTTCTTTCTATTCCCGTGTGGCCTTATATGTGTGTAATCCCTCAGTGGTCCAGTAGGTTCCATAGTGGTCTGTGTGTGTACACTAGTCTATGTGCTCTTAGAATTGTTCTGATACAGCTCAACATCATGCTAAAGCTGTCATGGAAAGATTCATTTCTGTCCTGAGAATGTGATTTTTTTTTGTATCGACGAGTATCTAGTTTTGATACTAATCAGTTTTAGTACTATTAGTATCTTATTTTACTTTTGACAACCCTAATAGATTTTGCTTTGTCTGTAATGTTTCACAATATTGTATTAAATCTTTCTATCTTCATGGAGACCAAACTAGACCAAGTTACAGGTCAGATCTGTGGGGAGGCGACTCTGCTGACGGTCAGAATGCTTGTAGTAAAACCACTTATATTTGAAGAAATGTAAGGTAAAACTGTGTAAAGTCATACTGTGGGACATTCCAACCAGAGAAATTACATTTCCATAGAAACAAGAAGATGACAGACCCCTACCAAAAAGTTACATTGTACTCCTTTAACTTCATAATCCATATCTGAATTAACTGATTAAAGTTTAGACTTGTCTGGCCTCCACAGACTCCTTTCTCCTGCTCCTTTCTCTCCAACACGTACCAGAGGGGGAAGGTCCTCTTCTTGTCTCGCCCGAGCCGGCTACGGTTGATGGTGGTGGAGCAGGGCACAGCGTCTAGATGGTGAGAGCTGTTGGGTAAAGTCGGGACCCACTGGCTGTTTCTCTTCGCCTTCTGTTCCCTACGACACACAGCGAGCAATGAGGAAGTGTTTGGAATAATCTGCTGTGAGTTGGAGACAGTTGTGTGACATTTTTGTTGCTGTTAAACTATGTTAAAATGAGACTGAATGTACTGAACTGAAATGAGAAGCCTATTTGGTAACCAAGAAAAAAGATAGGAATATACGAAAGTGAATGAGATGTTTTACTAAAGATAATAAGAAAATTAGGGTCATTATTTTATTTATAACTACTTTATACTTTAAAAAGGGCCCATATTAGGCTATTTTCTGACCTATGTTATAATGTTGTTTCCTCATCAAAACATACCTGGAGTTTTGTTTTGTGTGGAGCACCTTAACTAGAATGATTTGAATAACACTAACACTAAATGACATCACATGGTGGATTTTGAGCTTTGGAGATGTAGACAGACTAACAATAAAGGATTACTCAAACATGTGTGAATGCAGAAAAAACACAACTCTGGGTCTGTTTTTTAGGAGGTAACAACATTATAATATGACTTAAAGCTCATAAGAGTCCATTTTGTGTAATATAGAACCTTTAAACATTCAAACAGACTTCTTCCAAATCATCTTAATTATGAAATATAAAATCTTAGGTTCTTAATAGTGTAAGGGTCGTACCTGATGTATGCGGGGGGTTCAGCAATAGATACTGCTTTGTACTTCTCATCGTTTCCCTCTAGAATCTCCTCCACCTCCGAGGCTTTTAGTAGAGTCACACTGGTGGCCAGCTGTGTGTATCCATGATCTGAAACACATGACATCCATATCAATATTCACCTTATTTTGGAAGTGCACGCCGCCATCATCATTTGTGTTCTATTATTTTGCATGGGGCCGATCCTCACAGCAGATCAGATCAATCCAAACGATAAAGCTGTTTTAAAGCTTCTAGAGAATCAGTGTAGTGTGACTTGTTGTTGTGACAAATGACGACTTTATGTCATATTTAAGATACAAAACATTTGTCACACTTTTCTTCGCAGTAGGAAGGGCTGATACAGCCAAAAAAATAATAATTATAGTAGGATTGTTCACATTTACTGCCACATATACATTACAAAATATGGGATTAACTCAAAAATAAAATTGGACTAAACCAGGGCTAATCCAGATCAAACAAAGTCAATATCAGTACTAAAGTGGAATAAAACAGGGAATAAACCAGGTTTGTTTGTGTGTGTGTGTGTGTGTGTGTGTGGGTGTGTGTGTGTGTGTGTGTGTGTGTGTGGGTGTGCGTGTGCGCGTGTGTGTGTGTGTGTGTGTGTGTGCGCGTGTGTGCAAAAGCACCATTAGTGACTTCATTAGTATCTTAATATTATTTTAAAAGGCCTAGATATTCTGATCTATGATATAATGTTGTTTCGTCATCAGAAACATACCCACCTATTTAGTTTCATTCACACATGTTTAACACACTCAAACATGAGTGAATGAAACAAAACACATCTCCAGGTATGTTTTGATCAGGTAACAGCATTATAACATGGTTAAAAGTTGACAAGAGTCAATTTTGCATAATATAGAACCTTTAAAAAATAGTTAAGGCTATCAACTTGATCAGTCTCACACCCTCATACAGCCCACATGCATGATGGAAGTGCAGAAGAAGAAAAGACAGAAGAGCACACATCATAGAAGCATCTTTTCAGATTGTCAAATCGTCACAAAGTTATATCAGAATTTGAATCATAATCACCCATTAACCATAGTTTGGACTGGACATACTGAGTGGGCGATATACTAAAAATACTGTTATAACTTAAAAGTGAATTTAAAGTTACACTGACCATGTGATGACTCCACAATCTTCTTTCGTTCTTCAACCGAGGCCTGTTTCCTCCATAATGACGGATACCTTTTGTACAAAGAGCCTCTGAACATGCGCATGTAGTTACCCACCTGGACCCACAAACACACACAAAAATGTGTTAATATTCTCCATTACATTAAACCCATTCTAACTTATGTCTGTGTTTTTTAATGGACACAGGCAGCAATACATAAGGGTCCGGTCAAGCGGTAACGGAGGGAAACAGGGGCAGATTTTTTACATTCAAATAGCTCTTATTCAGAAACTAGAGGGACTATTGAAATCAGTAAAGTATCAGAATGTAGGAAAGAGTTAACACTTCAACAGGGTAAAGTTAAACCTGCGATATTCTTTCAAGTTGTTGACAAAAAATTTTAAAACTCATGTCGGTAACGGAGGGAATGAAATATGCAGCACTTTTTGGGCAAGAAATCCAAACAGTGATAACTAGCGGTTCTCACTTCCATATCCTTAACAAACTGGTGTGAATATTTGCTTCATATAGTTTTCTACCATATGGTACAAGATTAGGTTGAAAAACCTCTTACTTTTTGAGTAATGAGAGGTCATGGTCACGGAGAGAAAATTGTGCAAGCAAGTAGAAGGTGCATGATTTTACATCATTTGTCAACTTTTATCTTCTGAATACTTTAATATTACTTCAAAATGAAAGAAAACTATTTGTATAAAATATGTCAGTCCTTTCAAGCAAATTTTTATCATTTTAAATACATTTTTTTTGAAAAATCATGTACCTTCATCAACAGTTCAAAGATGGAATAACACAAGATATGATGAAATACATCCATTTATTTACACGATTTGCAGGTCTTTGAAATTTGGGAAATAATTTTTGTTCCATGTTTCATACATGGTCTGTTTAAAACATATGGAACTTTAGAACCAAAAATGGTACAGAAAAAAGGTCAGCAGTTTCATAAACTAGAGTACATATGTATCTGTTGAATACATTTTTATATCAGATACATTAACTTGAATTTTTGGCCTTGCTGTTTACTTCTGCTTGACCAGGCCCATAAGCATTGTACTTGAACTAATGCTTAAGGATTCTTTGTTTTGTTTGGCATAACGTTGCTTCAATACATCAAATTTAAAGCATAAAAACTTGACTGATTTTCAGATTCTATCAAAAAGTAGTAAACCACAGTGGAACAAGAATGGGAACAGAAAAAAAACAAAACATTACCAAGTTTAAACAAATGCTGATTTCCAGATATTAAAAGAGAGATATTAAAAACACACATTTTTACAAATATAAATCATATTATTCAAACGTGAAATGTATAATTCATTGTCTATAGACACCAATAAACTGTGACTCATAATACATCTGAATAAACAACAATAATAATCACTTTACTGTATTTTACCCAACATCTTTTTGAAATAATATTGTCCATATTACTTACACCAGAAACAGAAAGGCGAACAGATCAGATTCACATGCAGAATATTATTAAAACCCTTTTAATGCACATGATCTACTGTGATGATCTACTGTTAGCATCCTAGCCTTTACAGCGGCCAAACCGGTCACAGAAAACCCACACATTAATGCGATCAAAACAGTCATCTGCCGTTTCATTGTAATAAACACGTTATATACCGACCTCTGAGCCAATCATGTAATAATCCCCATCCTCTTCCAGTTGAAATTTCACCGGCTTTTGCCCAAACGTTTTGCTGAGCGCCATGCTAGCTCCGAAAAACAAAGCTCTGCGATTCCCACTGCGCATGCGTACACCTTCAACACGTTTGTCCCTCGTCGACGCCCGTAGCAAAATCAAAACAAGGAAGTGCCAGCCGAGACCCCCCAAAAAATGAATCGGTGAAGTTAAAAAGATTTAAAAACTCGATCGTGTTGTTTGAATATACTTTGGCGTTATGGGGAAACGTTTTGCTCGTGCTTTTCTCCATTTTGGCAACATAGCAAGCGGTGCAAGCGATTTAAAATTAAGAATATGTAGAATCTCGGTTTGAGTTCGGTTAGCCTGGATGGGCGCTGGTTCGGAGGAGATGGTTCGGAGCGTGTTTCGATCCGGGTTGTGGGTCCGAGCCGCGCACACACTTTTGACCTGGTCCATCACCCTGATCTTGTTCTTACACGACACCGGTAAGAATTTTATAGTAGCAACATCAGTGTTGGGAGGGTTACTTATAAAATGTATTCCCATACAGATTACAGATTACACACCCCAAAATGTAGTTTGTAACGTAATCCATTAAATTACTTAAAGTGAGTAACGTAATCTGAATACTTTGGATTACTTGATTTGCTGTAGAGAAGCAAAAACGAAGAAATCGTAACATAAGAAGTTTTGTCTGATAAAAGAAAATAAAAAGCCCAGACTTTACTGAACCAAATTAAAAATATTATTGATAGAAGAAGAGGAGACACGTCCACGCAGCATGATTTAGTCCTGTTAAATCCAGGTTTAGACCTGGTTTTAGACCTAGTTTAGTCCTGGTTTAGACCTGGTTTAGATCTGGTTTAGACCTGGTTTTAGACTTGGTTTTAGACCTGGTTTAGACCTGATTTAGACCTGGTTTTAGTCCTGGTTTAGACCTAATTTAGATCTGGTTTTAGACCTTGTTTAGTCCTGGTTTAGACCTGGTTTAGACCTGGTTTAGACCTGGTTTAATGTCCGGCAATGAATGGAATTACAGAAAAAAAAAGGGGGGGATATAGCCCAAAATGTGAAAACAGGAAAATACCGCCGTGTAATCCATTTATTTTAACAAAGTAACTGTAATCCAATTACCACTCATTGAAACAGTAACTGTAACTGAATACAGTTACTCATAATTTGTACTCTGATTACGTAACTCCGGTACATGTAATCTGTTACTCCCCAACACTGAGACATATAGTTCAAGTGGCTGTTAAACAGTAAATAATTCTAATAGCAGAGAAAGCACCAAAAAATACTAGTTTATTGGAAATTCTTTATTAAGGAGTTAGAGAAAAACTTCAGTCTAATCTCCTCGTAAGGCCCATAGAGGCAGAGATTGCACCAGTAACTCCAAATATCACAAATGAAAAACGGACATGGATGGATGAATGAATGAATGAATGAAGAAAATAACATTTCCAATTAGGGATGTAACAATAACCAAAATATTGTGATATGGTATCGTCAAAAGTCTCGCAATAATATCGTTGACTGTCACAATATATCAAATCACAAGTTCCTTTGTTTAAATGCTTGGTTTTATTGTAGCAACAGCTTATGAACATCGGAAACTACATATCCTATGATTCATTTCAGTGGAGACAACGTGAAGAGATATGTTTTTGACTTGAATTCTTGGGATTATAATGGAAATAATTCACACCAAAATCTTGCCAAGGTATTTTAAAAGCAAAAAAGTGTCCTATTTACAATTATATTATCCTCTTCAAAATATCACTATAAATACCGTACCATGAGATGCGTATTGTGATAATATCGTACCGTGAGATTTGGATATCGTTACATCCCTATTTCCAATATATATATTACTATTTCTTTGATGTATAAGCAGTGATGGGAAGAATACGAAAATGTATTTAGTTACAGAATACTGAATAACTGCATTAAAATGTATTTTGTAACATATTCTGACACATGGGCCAAATAGAGTACTGTATTTTGAATACTTTTACACAGACATTACATTTAAATTATAGAGTTGTTGTGGCAAAAATTATATATCTCTTGAATATAAATAATGAATCCATTTGCGAAGCCCGATGAGTTTTTGGAATATAGACCAAAGTTTATTCTTGTTACAGCAGATATTGACAGGGCCTCAGCCTGCCCTGGCCACAGACCAACAGCCTCTCCCCACCAATAGTACGTTCCTACTACATCTCCCACCGTATCTCCCAGAGCATTTGAGCTCTGAGTATTTATACAGAAATACAAATTACATACATATCAAAGCAGAGTGACTTTGGTTTCAGAGGCTGGTGCTAAATTAACATACAGTTGAGGATAACAAAGGGCTTCCTGAAGGAGGAGACAGATGAACCTTTACACGTTAATGACCGGTCTGGGTTTCAGGTAGAAATCACATTCATTTACACAAAGACAGATTGAAAGAAATCTTTCCACAATCCAAATTTCTATCACAGAGTAAAACCTCAAGATAGGATTAAAAACAGCTTTATGTTTGTTTCACCATTTGTTCTGCATTTCCTATCACTGACTGGAGATGGAACAACGACACATGCAGTCACCACAAGAGCAGTGTATTATATTTTTCTCACTGATTCTGTGCAGTTTGAAACCTAAATTGTGTGACCAAGTACTTTGATTTGAGGAAAGTAACTGTATTCAGAATAGAAAATGAGCAAGTGTTGAAGTAATGAATGAAAAGTAACTGTACCAGAATACAGTTACTCTAAATTAGTATTATGAATACGTATTCTTGGTAAATACAGTATATTCAGTTATTTCTTGTAAGTTTGTAGTAATCATAAGGAAATAACTTACATTTTCCAGTAATTTCCAATAAACAGAGGAGTTCATTCTCCAACCGGCTCCCACAGCTCTGCTCAAACAGTGAGAGATACAGGACTATAATACTCCCTACAACTGTACAACAACTCCCCCTTATAATAAGCCTTACAACTGTACAACAACTCACTCTTGTGTAACAGATAATACTCCCTACAACTGTACAACAACTCACCTTGTGTAACAGATAATACTCGCTACAACTGTACAACAACTCACCCTTATGGAACAGATAATACTCCCTACAACTTGTACATAAACATTTATATAATTATACCTTATTTGACACAATTTTCTTGATATTTTAGCTATTTATTTAGAATTTATTATTACCATTTATATATTTTTCACTTTGTTATTATATTTATTGTGATGTTTGAGCTGCTCTGTCCAAATCATTTCCCTTGTGGGTCAGTAAAGTTTGTCTAAGGCTAACATAAGCGCCAGCGTCAGCCATGTCTCAGTGAAATTATTCCTTCATTTGGTTCTTGATTTTCAGACCTGCGTCGCTGTGAGGAGCAAGGAGAGCTGCTGATTCCAGTAGTGTTTTTCCTTCTTGTTGTTTTGTCCGTGCTTTTGTACTTTGCTGTTTCTTTGATGGACCCTGGGTTTGTGCTCAAAGATGCAGCTCAGGTTAGAAACAATACATGATTATTTGTATTAACATTTAACATCTGAAATATAAAATCACATATACTAATTATGTGCATGTGTGTTTTTGCAGGCCTTATCCGAGGAAACAGAGCAGATGGTTCCTGATTCGTCTGTGCCTCGTGTCCGTCGCTGTGGCTACTGTTTTTTATTGGTAACTTCCAGCTTTGGAGATTCTTACATTTGTTATTTATACATTTTCTATCAGACTTTTTCAAAATGACAAATTAATACAATATTTGTCAGTACCTAATTCTTTGGAAAATGTGTTAGAATATTTAAATTTCAGTTTAGTTCACTAAACTTAAAAAATAAATACAAATTAAGTCATACCTTCTTTTCTTTTTTTATAATTCCTTGATAATTCTTTTGAAAAATGTGTTAGAGTCTAGATTAAAGGTTCTCTGTGTAACCTCCTCGTCTCCATGGGGATGCTTTTGCTTTGTCCAGAATGCTCCACAGCATTGCATTAAACGCATCTATCTCCAAGGAGACAAAAAAGTGACAGGCCTGCTTATGTTTTTTGAGCAATAAAAACATCTGTAATTGAATAAATGCAAGATAGCTACGTTTAATGCTACTTTGGAACATCCATTTCAAGCAAAAAACCTCAAATGCTCACTCTAACCCTCCACTAGAAGTTATGCAATGCACCTTTAAAGACTAACCTTGTCCCATATCCCACTGTTTGTTTTGCAGCAGCCGATGAGAGCGCGTCACTGTGCCGCTTGCGGACACTGCGTGCGTCGCTTCGATCACCACTGTCCCTGGATCAGTAACTGTGTGGGAGAAAGAAACCACCGAGTCTTTGTGCTCTACCTCTCTGTGCAGCTGCTCACTCTGCTCTGGGCCACACACTTCGCTCTGTACGTATCTAATAGTCCGGTTCCTTATATACTTTTGTGGGAATTTTTTGGGGATTTGCTAACCTATATATTTTTGGAAAGGTTATAGTATATGGAGTCAGAAAATCAATGTTTGCATTTGCCCACATGTCTTTATGGCGGCCATATTGGATTTTTAAAAAAATGGCTGCCAAAAAACCCTTTTTGGAATATCTCAGCCTCTGAATAAGTTGAAATGTTGATTTTAACTGCTAAACCCACATTTTCAGGGTCAGGGAATCAAATGGTGCTAGTTACAAACCTGTAAGACCTACCCAAATTAACCCTTAGATGAATAAGTGGGTCAAAAATGACCCGGTTTGGTTGTTTTCTTGCAATTTCACTGTAATATTCACATGTAATACTCACATGTTTTTTTTGGGGTTTTTTTAATGATCCTGCTGAAATACATCAACAATATGGGTAAAACAAATTATAAACATCACATGCAGCTGGTCAGATAACTCAAAGAGTTTAAAAGTAGCTAACATAAAATTTGGATATTGGATGTAAACACACACATTTAGACACAATATGATTACACAACTTTTTTATGAGACATTTTCTATACATCATCNGTCATCCATGTAGAGGAGGTGACTGATGGTGCCCCGTTTCTGAGTCGGTATCCATAGCCAGTGCGGTCGATTTATTTGGCTGAGAGGGTTCAGGCCTATGCAGAACAGTAGTGGGGACAGTGAGTCTCTTGGTATATGCCACATTTGATGGACACATGTGCAAGTGGCTTCCCCTTGGCTTCAAGGGTGGTTTTCCACAACCGCATCGAGTTCGCATGAACGCCCTTAGAGTCCTGTTGATATTGTACAGCTTCAAGCACTCAGTGATCATGTGTGTGGCATTGAGTCATAGGCTTTCTTGTAATCAATCCAGGCAGTGCACAGGTTGGTCTTGCGGGTTCTGCAGTCGCGGGCGACTGTTCGGTCAACCAGGAGTTGGTGTTTGGCTCCCTGGTGTTTTTGCCGATACCCTCTGTGCTGCGCTCATGTATTGATCATGTGCCCACTTATCTTAGCGCAATGATGCCTGACATGAGCTTCCATGTTGTGAGAGACAGGTTATTGGCCGAAGTTGGATGGGACTGCACCCTTTGAAGGATCCTTTAGGATCAGGATCGTAACGCCTTGGTTAACCATTCAGGGTGAGTCCATCCCTTAGCAGCTGGTTCATTTGTGCTGCCAGGCGCTCGTGGAGGGCAGTGAGTCTTTAGCCAGTACGCATGGATCATGTCAGGGCCCGGTGCGGTCCAGTTTTTCATACCTGAGACTCTTCCCTGGATGTCTGCCACTGTGATGGTGACTGGATTCTTGTGGTCTTCTCTCAGATCCACCAGCCACTGTGCATCGGTGTTATGTGATGCCTCCCTTTCCCATATGCCTTTCCAGTACCTCTCAGTCTCCAGCCTTGGTGGGTATGCTCTGCTGTTATTACCCTGCCACTGAGCGTACACTTTCGCCGGTTGTGTTGCGAACAGCCGGTTATTCGTTCCTCTTTAGGCGGCTGGCCAGGCTTGGAGCCTTTGTTTGGCAGTTTCGAGTGCTTCAGGTATGGGCAACTGGTTGTACCTCTTGGGCGCTTGCTTTTTCCTCTGACAGTTGGCTCACTTCTCTCCGCACCTCCTTGATTTTAGCCTCTAACCGTCTTTGCCATGGTGGGCATGGCTCCATGGTTGCTCTTATAGCCCAACACATCTAGGATCACTGCTGCTGAGTGTATATCAGCTCATTGGTTTCAGTGATTGTTGTGGTAGGAGACTTTCAGTGGTACTTCACATGGTGGTACTTCACATAGCCTCTGTAACCGGCATCGGGGTTGCTTGTGTTCATCGGGCATGATTTATCTTTCAGGTCAGTCGCTGCCTCGCTCTGCGTGATCTTATTGGGGTTTCGTACCCAATCTCTGGTTGGGGAGTTGGTGTCAACTCCCTCTGACCTGGACACTGGTTCCCCCTTGCCGTGGCATTTGTGTTGTACCTCATCAATCTCTAGTTGTGATAGCAGTTGCCTTTGTGGATGTTTGGAACACTGAGCTACTAGTTGTTTGCGTTAGCTTGGACTGTGGGTATCGTAATAACCATTTCTCCCACATCCTGTTCATGTAACCCCTCTGCCTAGGGTTACTGTAGTAGTAGCATTCCAACAGAGCCTTGTTCTTGCATCTCGCCCATTTCCGCCGTGTTCCAGTAGCCATTTTTCATCAAGGTGCCCTGGTTCCCAGCACCTGATGCAGACCTTGTTTGCCGGGCGACGTCTGAGCCGGCATGTCATACGTTTTTTTCTCTGTCATATTGTATGAGGTGGGCAGTAGCACGAAGGGTCTTGCCCAAGGACCCACACTGGTTAGCTCATTGTCCCCCTGCCGTCATAGGGGGGATTTGAACCCGGGTCTCCCATGTGAAAGTCCAGTGACTTCCCAATTGAGCTAACCTATATATATATATATATATATATATATATATATATATATATATATATATATATATATATATATATATATATATATATATATATATATATATATATATATATATATATATATATATATATATATATATAATATATATATATATATATATATATATATATATATATATATATATATATATATATATATATATATATATATATATATATATATATATATATATATATATTACACATATATGGAATGCGGCTACGGCCAAATACCTGCAAAGAGTGAGGCAAGTCCTAAGAAGCCAGCTCAATGGCAAGAACAAGGTGCAGTGATGAGATACCCTGCAGGAATCATAAGCTGGCCAAAGGAGGAGATACAAACCACAGATGTTAAGACACGAAAGCTCCTGACCATGCATGGAGGGTTCCATCCCAATGGCTTGAGAGGGTCTGAAGGATACACAGAAGCTCATTCTGGAGGTCAGGAGCAGGCCCTGGGCACTTGAGTAATAGAGGCCCAGATCTACCACACCAAACAAGAGCCACGGTGTAGACTGTGCAAAGAGGCTCCTGAGACAGTCCAGCACAGAACTGCAGGTGTAAGATGCTGCAGGGAAAGCATACATGGAGCGACATAACCAAATGGCGGGCATAGTGTAAAGAAACATCTGTCTGTCTACGAGTGGGAAACACCTCCAAAGGTTGTGGAGAACGACCGAGCCAAGATCCTGTGGGACTTCCAGATACAGACTGACAGGATGGTGATGGACAAACCAGACATAGTGGTGGTGGATAAGAAACAGAGCAGAGCCGTGGTGGTGGACATCACAATACCAAGCGATGGTAATATCAGGAAAAAGGAACCGCCTGTCAATCTCACATTCCGTCCTCCCCTCACTCATGAACTCCTCCACTTGAGGCAGGGACTCTCCACCCACTCGGAGAGGGCAAGACGCCTTTTTCCGGTCGAGAACCATGGTCTCGGATTTGGAGGAGATGATCTTCATACCAGCTGCTTCACACACAGGTCAAACTGCCCCAGTGCTGCAGGTCCTGGTTTGATGAAGACAACGGGACAACATCATCTGTGAACAGCAGAGATGATCCTGTGGTCCCCAAACCAGACTGTTCGGCCCCTGACTGCACCGAGAAATTCTGTCCATAAATACAATGAACAGAACCGGTGACAGTTGCGGCCCTGGTGGAGTCCAACATGCAGCGGGAATAGGTCTGACTTACTGCCGGCAATGAACACAGCTCCTGCTCCGGTCATACAGGAACCAGACAGCCCTTAGCAATGGGCCCCGGACCCCATACTCCCAGAGCACCCCCCACAGGACACCACGAGGGACACGGTCGAATGCCTTCTCCAGATCCACAAAGCACATGTGGACTGGTTGGGCAAACTCCCATGAACCCTTGAGCACCCGATGGAGAGTGTAGAGCTGGTCCAGTGTTCCACGACCGGGACGAAAACCACGGTCGGATTCTCCACTCCAGTCCCTGGCATAGACCGGGGAGGCTGAGAAATGTGATTCCCCCGCAGTTGGAACACACCCTCCGGTCCCCCTTCTTATACAGAGGGACCAACACCCCGGTCTGCCAGTCCAGAGGTACTGTCCCCGACCGCCACAACATGTTGAAGAGGCGTGTCAGCCAAGACCCACAACATCCAGAGACTTAAGGTACTCAGGATGGATCTCATCCAGCCACGGGCTTTATATTATGAATAGGATTTTTTTGATGGACAAAATAGAAAAAAAAAAAAAAAAAAACTAGAAAAGCACTCAGAGAGCGCAGACCTCCGCCAAGGACTACCCCCATTTTTTATATAAATTGCGATAAAATCAGTCTTCTGGATCAGATCCGGATCAGCCTTTGGAATATGAAAGAGTCCATCTGTCCATCCCTGAGTCAAATTTCATGGGGTTTGGTCAATAATTAACCGAGATATTGAGAAACTAAATTTTTGGCCCCATTTACCACAATGTTAACTAAAATTTCAAAGTGATCCAGAATCCAGGATTTCTTCCGGATCACCCCCAAAATGAAATCAGTTCTTCCTTTTCACATTTCCAACAAATCCTGAAAATTTCATCAAAATCGGTCCATAATTTTTTGAGTTATGTTGCTAACAGACAAACAAACAAACAAACAAACGCCAGCAAAAACATAACCTCCTTGGCGGAGGTAATCAGGATCATGTAGAGCGGGTTCATACAAACATTTTAAGACCAAAATGTCAAGGCTCACTGCAGCAGGTATAGAGAGAGGAGCCACAAGATCCTAATGTAAGTCCATTGGAGCCAGAGTCAGAAGGAGCTGGAAGAGCCTCCTGGAGAACTTCCTATTTGGCACATGGCGGCTACAGTGTTAGATCTGTCCACTCATATATACAGTCTATGGTTGTATGAAAGTGATGATGATAATGATGATGTATAGAAAATGTCTCATAAAAAAGTTGTGCAATCATATTGTGTCTGAATATGTGTGTTTACATCCAATATCCAAATTTTATGTTAGCTACTTTTAAACTCTTTGAGTTATCTGACCAGCTGCATGTGATGTTTATAATTTGTTTTTACCCATATTGTTGATGTATTTCAGCAGGATAATAAAAAAAAAAAGAAAAACATGTTTTTGGAGGAACATGGAGTATTACATGTGAATATTAGAGTGAAAATGCAAGAAAACAACCAAACCGGGTCATTTTTGACCCACTTATTCATCTAAGGGTTAATGTGGGTAGGTCTTACAGGTTTGTAACTAGCACCATTTGATTCCCTGACCCTTAAAATGTGGGTTTAGCAGTTAAAATCAACATTTCAACTTATTCAGAGGCTGAGATATTCCAAAAAGGGTTTTTTGGCAGCCATTTTTAAAAAATCCAATATGGTCGTCATAAAGACATATGGGCAAATGCAAACATTGATTTTCTGACTCCATATACTATAACCTTTCCAAAAATATATAGGTTAGCAAATCCCCAAAAACTTCCACTAAGGTCAAAAAATGACAATAAGGAACCGGACTATAAACCTAACTACCGTATTTTCCGCACTATTAACCACTCTGGATTATAAGGCACACTGTCATAGAATGGTCTATTTTCGAACTTAAAAAACAAAAAAACGCACCGGACTTTAAACGAAACACAACAGGTAAGCTATGTTCAGACTGCAGGGCTTAACGCTCAATTTGGATTTTTTTGTGAAATCCGATGTTTTTGCGAGGAAAACTGTATGGCCTCAACCCCCTGCAGCTTCCACACTAGGCTCCACTCCAAACACCTTGAACCAAATGTAGGACAAAAATGGCCGTAACATTTTGTTTAATGTGATGATATAATATCAATATCATGGGCTGCTGTATCAGTATATCACCAAGAGTATTTTTTGGTATATTGAACAAATTATTTAGTTACAGCTATAGTTTTGTTGCTTGTTCAGAGGAAGGAAACTCATTCATGAAACTCATTTGACATTTTCACTGTTTTGATTAAAATGTTTTATATATGTATATATATATATTTATATATGTTTTATAAGAACTTTGCACAAGAAGTGATTTAACAAAGACTTTTAGTATCACAGCCATGATTTAGCCATTATTTTTTAAAGAATTTATTTAAAATATACCGTACTGAACCGAAAGTGCACTGTATCGAGATATGTATTGTATCGTGGCCTATGTATCGAGGTATGTATCATATTGGCGGCTTCTTAATGATAGCCAGCCCTATTAGAATGTTGTTACCTCATCAAAAACATACCTGGAGTTGTGTTTTGTTTAATGTCAAATTCCTGGCAAAACCAGTGACATCTCTTTGGAGACACAGAGGCAATGGTCCCTTCACTAGAAATGTTACATACTGCATCTTTAAAGGGCCCATCTCATGCAAAATCAACGTTTCAGAGCTTTCTACCTTCTAAGAGTGATGTGTGGGCCTTGTATTTGTCGCCCAAGTGGTTTTTAGATTGATTTAGCTTTTTTTTTAACAAATTGCAGCGTATTTCTGCCACCCTCCAACGTGACAACGAACTAAAGCTGCTACAACAATGATGCGGCAGATACACCTATGACGCGTTTGACGTAGCAGAAAGCACTTCACACCTGCCCTAGAGATGCGCGGATTGCGGTTACAACCGCGGTATCCGCGGTTAATCCGCGGGTCGGGCGGATTACGTGACGAAAAATTATATTTAAATTAAATTCGGGCGGGTGGCGGTTTAACTACAAAAAAAAAAAAAGTTATTGTTAGTATTGTTACCTACATCTGAATAGACGAGTGTCATTGTCTATGCTTGTAGTATGAAGTGTACGTCATATCCTTAAGTAGCCCATTTGAACTCGTTTTTATGTTCTGAAGGTTAAGGTTGTGTTGGGTTATTGATAGCCTAAGGTTTAAGAGGCACATATTATATGCAGTTTATTTTATTATTTCTAATTTATTTCAGCTGTTTGCCAACACATAAGTGGCTATAGGGCCATATTTATTTAGTTATGCATATTTTTTCTTGCCTATTTCAATTGGAATATAAAGAGGGCATTGCCTGATTTCAATAAAGGTTCATCTGGATGAGATGATCTGTCTATTTTGTTTCGATATCAGTTATATTTTAAAACATGCAGACATTATAGCGTAGACTGCCACTCGGGGTATTTAAAACTTAAAGAAAGACCGATGGAGTGAGGCTATGACTTTGAAATATTATCGGGCAATGGCAGAATGTTCAGAATGTAACAACATCCAACACGAAGGCAAGAAGGTTCAAAAATAGCCTAGTCAGAAAACATTGTCAATTAATTAGCTGCGCAAGAAAACCAGGTAAGTTTGGGGTTGTTACGGACAATTAAGAATGTGAACATACACGCTGAGCGAATTTTGGAATGAATGAGCTATAGAGTTTGCATTTTTATCGAGGCTCCTTAGTTTGTTTGCTGTATAATTGTTCTAAAATCAATCGGCGGATGGCGGGCGGGTGCGGTTTTGAAAACCTTCGGTGCAAAATGGACAGCGGGCGGATGATGAGTTTTGTGTCGCGGTTGCAGATGAAAAAATAGCCCATCCACGCATCTCTAGCCTCCCCCACTCCACCTCCTCCAGCTCGCCTCCACCAGTGTACATGATATAATAAATTTATCTACTAGTGTTTATTAATACTTTACCAATCAGCTGATGTGGACGTGGTGCTCGAGCTTCGTGCTCCTCAAAGTCCTCGTCCGATTCCGGGTCCAACACATGTGGCTGAACGCGCTGTATCTCCATGATGAATAAAAGTTTATTCTACCACTATCAGGGTCACGCCTGTCTCCCCCTCCCTCCCTGAGATGGGCAGAGGAAGGGCGGCTCACTCGTCCCCTACGTCACGTTTGGAGGGCGGAGCCTGTGCTTTCTCAGGACGGGCGGGGGGAGGAGTAATAGTCGGTCTTTCATAGTTTCTGGTCTGTGACTGTCTCCAAGAAATCAGTAAGATTTCAGAACTATTGTGTCATGGATGTTCCAAAACCCAAATTGTGTTTGTTTATGTGCAGAAGATACAATGTGAAAAGAGTTATTTTACATGAGATGGGCACTTTAATACAATATATACGTTTTGATACTTAGACAAACTTTATTTATCCCCAAATGAAATTACTTGAACACAGTAGCTCACACATCACAATAAATATAATAACAAAGAGAAAAAATATAAAATAAGTAGCAGAAATAGCAAAAGACAGGAGTCAAATAAGGCATAATTATGTAAAATTATAAAGGTATATGTTAGGGATGGGCACGATCAGTCGACTAATCGATAATTGATCATTAAGAATTTCGTCGATTACGTTCATTTCTAATCGATAAACCGAATGTAGGTTTCTGTGTGTAGATATGAAGCTGCGTCTGACAGCACAAACACGAGTTGCGGGCTCACAGTCCCACATTTTGCCTCTGGCTCCTCCTTGGAGATCTCTACAGCACTGAATCAGTGTGTTTACAGCACATCAGTGTCCCGGTTTCATCATGGTGCATGTTTATGCAGTATCCCGGTTACTGCAACATAAAGAGCTGCGCTAAACCTGCACATGTACGATCTCTGAAAACATCGTGGCACACAGAACAGACTCACCTTCTGCATCAACATCCCTCTGTCAGAGAAAGAACACTCATATTCCACTGAGTCGTGTCCTTTAGTCTGACAGAAGCTGAAACGCATCAGCGCACCATGGTTTTAAGTTTTGTTTCTGTGAGACTTGCACAAAGCTGCATTAAACACATGATAATGTCAAACGGGCTGATGTGGCTCTAGAGTGGTTATGTTTATATGTTGTAAAGTTGAATGTATTTATGCAGATTAGTAATAGTAATAATAATGATGATACTTATTATATAAAAACGGTAATGATTAATCGAAAATTGATTGTTAATTCTCCCAACAATCGATTAATAAAATTGAATCGAATCCCCATCCCTAGTATATGTACAAGTAAAAATAAAAAATCTAGAAATAAAGTAATACAAATATATCTCAGCTATATACAAGAAGTCGTAAGGTCATAAGTCTTTGTCACATCTCTAAATTTACTGTAAACAGCTGTCACTCAAAACTGTCTCCTCTGTCTGTGTCTCTTTCAGGTCTGGGTTCTCTCCTGTTGCATCTTGGGAGCGCTGGTTCAAGGTTCACATTTTCCTGTTGGGGGCGCTGTCGGTGGTAGGCATTTTTTCGCTGGTGGTCCTCATACTTTTGGGCTGCCACCTTTACCTGGCGTCTGTGAACTGCACCACGTGGGAGTTCATGTCCCGCCACCGCGTCTCGTACCTGAAGAGCATCTCCGACGAGCAGAACCCTTTCGATCGCGGAGTTTTCTGTAACTTATGGGCGTTTTTCTGCGTGTGCCGAGCGGAAATATGGGAGCAAGTTTATGTCAAAAATTCAACCCTCAGCTCGGTCTAAAGGCAACAAAATGGACACAGAAGGCTGTGTGTGTGTTATTCTAAGCAGAGTAGTAATATATGCATAGAACAAGAAGGTGATGGACCTCGAACGAAAAAGTTACACAGTGTAACTTTAATGCCATAGTGTGTAACTTTTTATTGCACTGAAAAATATAGAATGATCTGTGTTCTTACTCTTGGACTTACATCTCTAAAAAACTGGCTTTTTCTTTGTCTGGAGAAGGGCCGCTTTCTTAACATTTCCATGGAAACAAGCAGATTTTGAAACCAATTTTGTATTTCGTCTTATTGGCTTTTCCATATTAATAGTATGGAAAAGTAACTCTCACCACTGTCTAAAGGCAAGAAAATGGACACAAGAGGCTTTTTGTGTGTGACTTTTTTAATTGCACTGAAAATTATAGAACAACCTGTGTCCTTACTCTTGGACAGCGCCAAAAAACTGGCTCTTATTTAACCTGGAGGAGGCCTTCTTCTGCTTGTTTCCGTGGAAATGTTGAAAAAACTCTTTTTGATTCTGATTTTTGATACCACTTTTGTATTTCTTCCTATTTGCTTTTACAGATTAGAATACACTACGGGAACAGATTTATGTCAAAAAGCAACAGTCAACACTGTCTAAAGGCAACAAAATGTACCATATTTTCTGAACTATAGGGCACTCTGGATTATAAGGCGCACTGTCATTAAATGGTCTATAGAGGCTTTGCACTGTCACGTGTCCCCATGGCAACAGTAACTACACCGCCATGACACAGGGCACACTATGCCATTGACTTCAGCAGCATCGGAGAAACATGGGCAGGTTTTGTTGTGTATTTGGTTGTTCTAGATGCTCTGATAGGGATAAAACGATTCGTTTCTTCACTGTTCCTCTGGAAATTACTCATCAGGAGCTCAAACAAGGGAATTACAGAAAAAAAAGACGGGAATTATGTTTAGAGAACATAAACCACAAAGAGATTTCCTATGGTACCATCAAGACACGCTCACGTCACTTTCATCAAGGTATTTACTATTTAAATTGTTTCATAGCTTATTTAATAAGAGAAGCACATTTACTGAACTAAAATGTAAAAAGAAAACATTTGCAGTGTGAGTGGCAGTAGAAACTGTATTTTCCAACGCACATATAAACATGTTACTCGTCATAGGACCGATGTTTTCTTTATTGTCTTGCTTATCCACAATTTTGTCTTCTAGAATTAATCACTTTTTGCAAGTAGATCTTTCTTACGTTCGCGAGGATCTTTTCATGGCCGATTCTTTTGAGGTTCGGCTCACAGAATTTTCGACTCGTGCGCCATGTTGATCATAGGAGCCCAATGTGGGTTCGTTCAATCATAAAATAGTGCAGGTTTTCCTGGATACATTTATAAAATTTTTGTTCAGTAAATGTGCTTCTCTCATTAAATAAGCTATGAAACAATTTAAATAGCAAATACCTTGATGAAATTTTGCGTGTCTTGATGGTTCTCTTCGCGGTTTATATTCTCTAGCCATAATCCGTGTCTTTTTTTCAATAATGATGAGTAATTTCCAGAGGAACAGTGAAGGACCGAATCGTTTTATCCCTATCAGAGCGTATAGAACAGGGGTGTCAAACTCATTTTGGTCCGGGGGCCGTATCCAAACTACTTTGATCCCAAAGGGACCGGATCAGAAAACTCATGGCATATAAACCCCAAAAATAACAATAAGTTCAAATATTTGTGCAGAGAAACACAAATCTATTACAGAAATCTTTTTTTAATTGATGAACTCTTTCTTTTACAAAATATTATAATATTATGAACAACCTGAAACTTTAAGAAAAATGTAATTTCAACACAGTGTTTTAACATTAAATTGTATGTAAATAAGAATAAGTATTTTTTTTTTTTGAAAATCCTGCACTCAGCTCCACTTTCCTCATTTTTGACATTTTGTTGATGAGGGTGTCACGATCAACAGTCAAAACGATCGTCCTTTAAGAGCGTTTGGAAAGAGACAAGTCTTCATTTGTGCTGCTCTGGTGGGAGGGGCCACGTACAGAGACACTGGAGACACTGATATGATAAGCACCGCAGAAAATACAATATTTTAAAAGAAAATATAATTAAAATATTTTAGTAGAAAATCAGCAGAGGGCCACATTAAAGGTCTTGGAGGGCCGGATCCGGCCCCCGGGTCTTATGTTTGACACCTGTGGTCTAGAACAACCAAATACACAACAAAACCTTCCCATGTTTCTTTGATGCTACTGAAGTCAATGACATAGTGTGCCCAGTGTCATGGCAGCATAGGTACTGTTGCCATGGGGGACACGTGATGGTGCAAAGCCTCTATTTTCAAACTTTTTTCACAAATAAACCGCGTGGGACTTTAAAGGAAACACAACAGTTTGATGGGTAAGTGGTTTTCTTTGTTTGTGGCGTTCACGGTGACTCTGGGCTTTGTTCAGTTGTGGCGTGTAGGGAGGGTGCTGTCTGGGATCAACGGATTGTCGGCATGTTCGCAGTGACTCAGTTGTTCAGTCGTGTCTAGAAGTGGCACATTGCACTCGCTTTTTCAGTTTGTTCCTCCATTCCGTTCCTCGTTGGCGTGGAGTGATGAGTGTGTCTGTGGGTGTTTTTGGGTGTTTTTGGCTGCGCGGTCGCTGTCTGGTCCATGTGTGTTTGTGTGCGACACCTGAGTGGATTCGTGTATAGGGCGCTCTGGATTGTGGGGCGCACAGTCGTTTTTTAATGGGGTTAGAGGCTTAAGAGGGCGCCTTATAGTGCAGAAAATATGGTACAGATGAATGGATTACCATTTGGTTAGTGGGTGTACCCTTAACCCTCTACTCTGCCACTGGGGGTCTTCAACTGAAAAACTATCATTTTGTGGAGATTTTGATACTAATTTTGTATTTCGTCTTGGCTCTTACAGATTAGAATGCGGTCTGAAGTATGGGAATAAATTTATGTCAAAAATAACTGTCAATGCTCTCGAAAGGCAACAAAACATGCTGTCTTTTAAACAGATTACCAACTGGTTAGTGGGTATGCACTTAACCCATTAGTCCATCAGTAGAGGTCTACATCTAAAAAACTCAATCAGCATCAGCTTTAGTTTAAACATGCATTTTTGATCAATATTTTGTGCAGATTTTGATACTAATTTTGTATTTTTTCCTGTTGACTTGTATTGAATAGAATGTGAAGTTGTGTTGTGTTTACCTAATTTAAATATGGAGAATTAAGTCATATAATTTAATTTATTTGCTTCTAATAAAAATGTATGTTGCAGTACATTAAAGGTGCACTATGTAACTTTTCGTTTGGGGGCCTGTCATTTGCTTGTTTCTATGGAGATATCATTGCTCTGCCTGGAATGTTCCACAGTGTGACATTAAACAGCTCTACTTTACATTTATTCAATTACAGGTGGTTTAATTGCTGAAAAAACCTACAAAAAATAGGCATTCTGACTTAGCGGGGTCACTCTCCACAGATCTGACCTGTAACTTGGTCTGCTTTGGTTTCTATGACAATGTAAAGGTTTACTGCCATACTGTGAAAGATTCCAGACAAAGCAATGACATCTCTATAAAGAAAAGCATTTGACGGACCCTCCACCGGAACAGTTACACAATGCACCTAACACAAATTTTAAATATGGAAAAATAAAGTCATATTTAATGTATTTACTTCTAATTGAAATAAAAATGTTGCATTACATTTATTGATTGACCTAATCCTTTAGCAGCAGACAGTGAATATGTGGTACAGAGGAGGAAGAGTGAATAGGCTCTACTCACGCTTACGTCACAAAACCGTCAGACGTTTGGAAACGCGGATTACAACTTCTTTTTGGGCTCTGTTGACTAGTAGTAACTGTCAAAATCTGAGAAAATTTTTAAATTGGCCTGGTTTTCTTCATCTAGATGTCACTATCCTTTTTTTTTTTCCTTTTGTAAACTGCCTATTCATTTGTGTATTATAATTTGTCTAACTTAAAGGTTGGATGGAGGATTTTTTTTTTTTTAGCTTAAAATACCATTACAGAGAAGCAGCAGCCTTATAATTATAATGACCAAAAAAACTAAAGAATGAAAATCTATCAACTGTGGATGTAGTAAGGCCAGATAAACATCAGCCAATAGAAAACGACGCTCCCTCATTTTCCATTGGCTGTTGGGTTGTCAATCAAACTCCCTACGTTTCTAGTGTAACCGATTCACCGGCGCATGGGAATTACGTGGTTTATGCAGCGGTTCTTAGAGGCTTTTTCAAACTGTAGCTTCCTCACAGTTCACACAAAGTTTGTTGCGATGGCGGACGAGAATCCACGACCAGTTCACCACAAAATAAAGTCAATTTTTGAGGTCGCTGAAAGAAGAAGGCAAGGGGAAAAAGAGCAAAGACAAACTGAGGTAATTCTTGGAGATTCCTTCCAGCGATTGTGTGACTGAAGCAGACGAAGGGTCTAAAAACTGACGCATTGGTCACTAAATTATTTCTAGACAGGTCACTTCAACAGTAATTCTGACTGTAAACAAGCGTGAGTTCTAGAGTAAGGAGACGGGAGGAGGTGTTTCTACTGAGGGGCTGTGGAGGAGGAAGGTGGTGTCACACATGCACAACATTTGAAAAAGGACTGTCACTGTATTTGTCTTTCCCTTAAAAAATCATCTATACAACCTTTAATTTTAAAAAAAGATGTTACTGTAGCGTTCCGTTATGTTCAGCAGATCAGCAGTTCCAACAGCCGTCTGTAAGTGACATCGAAACTGCGATTAGAGTCTCGTCCTCCATGAAAAGCTTTGGCAGGTTGTGAAGATGCTGCTGCTGAATCCATGGTTTTATCACATGCCCAGTGTCAGGAACTACACCAGAAGTCGTCATCCGCATGTTTCCATACTTCTTCCAGTAATCGTGAATAGACGCATCAAGAATTTCGGACTTCCAGTCATTGCGCAATGCATACTGGGAAGGAATTTCCGAGAAAGTGAGCATCAAACTGCCACGTTTGATTTCCCAGTGGGATGTGTCTATTGACAAAGCCAGTCTTTTTAAGTCTTTTGAACCATATCACTTTTGTTTCTGGTTCTGATATTGTCAGATTTTAGTTTTGGGATTCCAAGATCGTAATTGTGTGGTTGTTGGATCCTAACAGCAGAAAACAGCTTGAGAAATTTGTTTGCGAACTCCATAAATGCAAAAGGGAATCAGATGTGTGTGACTGCAAATCTCTGTTCAAACTGTTTCACTTCCCAATGGAACTGAAAAATAGTGAAAGATGAAGGTGATGGGCAGGATTGATCCACAGGAAGGACGGAAAAGGAAACCTTTGACTGCCTAAATCATCCCGAGTTTGCAGTGAACATTTTGTATGTGGAGCAACATCAAAGTGGGATCCCGTTTGTTAAGTGAGAGGTACAGAAGACAAACAGACTGAGCTGCACTTTCTTGTTCTTGTGGTTTTACAGCAACATCACGTCTTCACGTCTCTTTACAGTGGAAGGTGTTTCTTGGCGATCAGCTGGTGCCTTTTGCTTTGGCGTTGACCTTTTAAATTCATTACCAAGGCTGAGCGAAGAATCAGAGTTTTGCTTTGATGTCGGTCCAGGTACAAAATGTTGTCTGCAAACTTAGGATGATTTAGGCAGTGAAAGGTTTTCTTTTTCGTCCTTCCCGTGGATCAATACTGCCCATCGCCTTCACCTTTCACTAGTTTTCAATTCCGTTGGGAAGGGAAACAGTTTGAACTGAGGTTTGCAGTCACACACATCTGATTCCCTTTTGCATTTATAGAGTTCGCAAACAAATTTCTCGAGCCATTTTCCGCTGTTAGGATCCAACAACCACACAATTACGATGTCCGAGTCCCAAAACTAAAATATGACAATATCAGAACCAGAAACAAAAGTGATATGGTTCAAAAGACTAGAAAAGATCAGCTTTGTCAATAAACGCATCCCACTGGGAAAACAAACTTGGCGGTTTAATGCTCACTTTTTTGGAAACTCCTTCCCAGTATGCATTGCGCAATGACCGGAAGTTCGAAATTCTTGATGCATCTATAGAGCCAATATATGGGTATAAGGATGATGAGTTTAGAGTTTCTTGGTGGCCCCCACAAATACATACATAGACATTTTTTTTCTCTTTCATTTTTCAGTCCTCTGTTGTTGTTTTTGTTAAGTTTATATTATTATCTATATTTTTTTTTATTTACTAAGTTGATAATGACCTGTCAAAGCTCTGATGCTCCTCAGGTTGGGAACTACTGGAGAAAATTTAGGTACAAAGGACATACAAGCAGATGGTGTGAAAAAGCAGAAGATATAAAGGGAGACCATACCAGACCAATTTAAAGGTCAGATCTGTGGAAAGGCAACCCCGCTCAGTCAGAACACCTGTTTTTCGAGGAATTTCTGAGCTATAAAACCATCTGTAATTAAATAAATGTAAAGTAGAGCTGTTTAATGTCACACAGTGGAACATTCTAGCCAGATCAATGACATATCCTTCATGACAGACCCTCCAACAGAAAAGTTACAAAATGCACCTTAGTAGTCGACTCGTAAGTAAAAAAAAACAGTTTTATTTTAGACTTTGGCAAAACATCCAAAGACTGTTTTTCTTTCAAAGCACCTTTACTTCATTCACATGTAATTGCTGGTTTTAACATGGTCTAAATACAAAAATAAATACAAAAAATGTTTTCAGTGTAGGATTCATATGGACATAAAACACAACAGCACTGATCACATCTCTCAAATTCTGGTAAAAAATATACAATCTGAGAATAAACAGACTTCCATTCAAATCTACGGCCACAAGTTGTGTTGATTTAATTGTAGTACCTTTAAGGGCCTGTTCCTGATTTTATTTTTTTTTTTTTTCTTTCGCCAATACAGATATATTGCATTAGCAGGCCGGCAGCAGAAATTTGGGGGCCCAGGGCAAGAAGCTTCACATGGGGCCCCCTGAAATATAAAAAGTAGGAAAATAGTCCAATTCTGGGCTCCGGGACAACAGACTCCTTTGCCCTTCCCTGTCTACAGCCCTGTGTATAAGCCAATCTTAAGGTCAAATAAAAATAAGTCTGTTGTGTCCTGTTTTATTGGAAGGTGCGCGGTTAGCATCTTAATTGTAAGCTTTACTTTGACTCGAGTTTCTGAAAGTTGAGAAACACACTTACAAACTCATCAAGGTGAATCATTAAGATCTGTGGATTCTATAAAAAAAGTGAAGAATAATTCTGGCCATAACCATGTTTTTAAGAGACCATAAAAATCAGGTATAGCACCTTTAATGTTTCAACACTTTCTCACGATCTCTCAAACAATGCTGTCTTTTTTGGAGGTTTCTATAGTGAATTTTCTAATAAATAAAAGCAGTCCCACAGTGTCGTATGCGTCTGTAGACTTCCTCCATTTGTTTACAGGAGGTAGGTGGCCTGGGTTAAGCCTTCGAGTTCATGTTTAGTATTTCTTTTGGATCATGATCTCCAGAAAACAGAGGTGAGTTGACCCTTCGGAGGGCTGATCTGTCTGTTCCGGAGTGAAGTCTGTAAAAAAAGAAAAAAAAAAAAAAAGACAGGATTTTAATATGCTGAATATGAGAACCACGCATTATATTGAAGAAGTGAGGATTAGTATTTTGGTGATACATTTGACCAGTAATGGAAGGTAACAAAGTACAAGGTAAAAGTACAATATTTAAGTAAAATTTTTTATATATATATTATAATATTTGTACTTTACTTAAGTGCATTTTATAGTGGATACTTTTTACTTTTACTTCACTACATTTGAGAGCAGGTATCTGTACTTCCTACTCCACTACATTTGAAATCTGGACTGAAAAGTAAAATGTACTTTTTATGATTTGAGACCTGCTGAAAAAGCGGAGACAATTTTTTTTAGCACATTTTATTTAAGTGAATGTCACTACTACATCAAAATCACTACATTGCATCCTTCAATTGTTCTAAAAATATCAGCAAAATACTTTTACTTTTTAAGTACATTTTTAAACAGGTACTAATACTTTTACTTAAGTAGATTTTTTCATGTGATACTTTTACTTGAGTCACGTTTTGCCTCCATATCTGTACTTTTACTTGAGTAACTTTCTGACCCTGTATCTGTACTTTTACGTGAGTCACTTTCTGACCCTGTATCTGTACTTTTACTTGAGTATCTTTTTGCCTCCATATCTGTACTTTTACTTGAGTAACTTTTTGCCTCCATATCTGTACTTTTACTTGAGTCACTTTCAGGCCCTGTATCTGTACTTTTACTTGAATAACTTTCTGACCCTGTATCTGTACTTTTACTTGAGTACCTTCTTGCCTCCATATCAGTACTTTTACTTGAGTAACTTTCTGACCCTGTATCTGTACTTTTACTTGAGTAACTTTTTGCCCTTGGATCTGTACTTTTACTTGAATAACAAAACTGAGTACTTCATCCATCACTGCCTTTGACCATCCATTGCTCCAAGTGGAATGTTTTATAAATAAGACCCCGGGTAAGCACTTTACCTGCTTGTCTCCATGGAAATAAATAGATTGAATGCCATACTGTGGAACATTCTAGCCCAAGCACTAACATCTCCATGGAGACAAGCAGCTGGTAGATTTTCCACTAAGAACAGTGACAAAATTGCACCTTTGAATGCATGATTTTCTGACCTCTAGAAATTGTTCGAGTCTGGTGAGTGATCCCATCTGTCCGTCTTTGGTTGCTGCTTTAATTCTGCTCAAAGGAAAAGAACAGATATCAGCAATTAACAAACAACATTCTCACACACTTTTTTTTCCTTTTTACCTTGGGAAGTAGTCCTCTTTTAAAAACAGGAGGAGTTTCCAGAACTGGCCTTGGTACTGTTTCATTAGGGCATTTCCACAAACCTGAAGAGACATAGGCAATGAAAACATGAAGAGAAAAACAAAACTTCATATTTAAATTTGGTTAAAGGACCTGTGTGTCTCCAGAGCCCTTAAAGTTTGAAAAAGGTTCAAAAATCACATCTAAGACTTTTGGAAACATGTGGATGATGACTTCCTTTGGGATCTGTTAGATAGTAACTCTGACAAAATCTGTGAAAACTTCTTCATCTAGACGCCATTGTATTCTTTCTTTTTTCCTTTTCCAAACGTCTTCCGGTAAGCGTGAATAGAGACTGGAGCATAGAGCCTAGACTAACCAAAGAATCAAACCAAACCAAAGAGACCCACCTCCAGGAAGTCAAAGAGCAGAGTAGCTGTGGTGTCCTTCTGTGGCTCCATGTTGAGCATCTGAGCCAACCACCTCCAGCCGTGGTTCAGGCCGTGTGGCGCAGGCTGCAACAACAGACATGTGGATTCTCATATTATGTTTTTAGCAACATTGTTAAGCACTTTGGGGTAGAACTATCTGTTTTTAAATGCTATTTACCGCATTTTCCGGGCTATTAGGCACTCTGGATTATAAAACGCACTGTCATTAAATGGTCTATTTTCAAACTTTTTTCACAAATAAACCGCACCGGACTTTAAAGGAAACCCAACAGTTGGATGATATCATATTTAAGAGCATCTTTTAAAAGGAGAGGCCAACAGTATATACACACTTTATATGAACACACAACTCATGTTTAACACGCAAACAAGCATATTTAGACTGAGGTCCTCTTTAACAGAAAACACTCTGTTCCTCCGTTCCGTTCCTCGTCGGCGTGGAGTGATGAGTGTGTCTGTGGGTGTTTTTGGCTGTGCGGTCGCTGTCTGCTCCATGTGTGTTTGTGTTTGTGTTCTGCGGGTGGTGCGGCTTTGTAGTTTACTGAAGTCACTCCCGACACCTGAGTGGATTCGTGTATAGGGCGCTCTGGATTGTGGGGCATGCAGTCGTTTTTTGAACGAGTTGGAGGCTTAAAAGTGCAACCTATAGTGCGGAAAATATAGTACTTTGATCTGATTTGATTTGAACACACACGGAGCAGACAGCGACCGCGCAGCAAAAAACACCCACAGATATACTCATCACTCCACACCGACGAGGAACGGAACGGAGGAACGAACCGAAAAGCCAGAGCAGTGTGAACCAAAGCAAGTGCAATGTGCCACTTCTAGACACAACTGAACAACTGAGTCACTGCGAACACGCCGACAATTCAGCGGTCCCAGACAGCACCCTCCCTACACACCACAACTGAACAAAGCCCAGAGTCACCGTGAACGTGCCAAAAAAAGTCCCACTGACCCATCGAACTTTTGTGTTTCGTTTAAAGTCCGGTGTGGTTTATTTGTGAAAAAAGTTTGAAAATAGACCATTCTCTGACAGTGCGTCTTATAATCCAGAGCGCCCAATAGTGTGGAAAATACAGTATGTAACATTTTTGTGAAAAAAGACTAAAATAAAAGCATGTTTTTTCAGTATGTTTTTTTTAATGCAATGAAAAACATGCAATCTTATTCTGAGTGGGCTTACATCCCCACAAAGTTGGCCTGGAGGATAACCCCCTCCTGTTGGTTTCCATGGAATTATTGCTCCTGATCTATCTCCATGGACAGTTATATTGTATAGTATAGATTAGTATAGTATAGTTATAACTCTTCCTCACCTGCTCTGCACCTCAGTGTTAATCTTTGACATGTTATGAGTAAATAAATACATACATACATACATATAGTCTATATCAGTGGGGGAAGGAGGAAGGAAAGTAAAACTACAATACTTGAGTAAAATTTTTAGGTATCTGTACTTTACTTAAGAAGTGTTTACAGTGGATTTTTTTTTTTACTTCACTATATTTGAGAGCAGGTATTTGTACTTTCTTCCCCACTACATTTTAAATCTGGACTGAAAAGTAAAAAGTACTTTTCTTTATGGTGTGATCTTTGTTGTTTTTAGCACATTTAATTTGAGTTTACCAACTTTGAGCAAACCAAATGCACAAAGACACAAATGGCTAGAAATCAATTAAATCCCTTAAAATCAGCCAAATTCTTTATCAAAATCACAAAATTTTATGCTTAAATAGTTCTGAAAATCTCTACAAAAGTAGATTCTTAAACAGGTATTTTAATAGTTTCACTTAAGTCTATGGTTTTGCTCTTATTTTATCTTACTGGTTTTATTATTTTAAGACTAGTATGATTATTTTAGTAGTTTATTTTATCATTTTATTATTGTTGTTATTATGTATTTGTGCAGCACTTTGGAAACTGTTGTGAAATGTACTATAGAAATAAAGTAGATTGGATTGGATTTAAGTAAATTTTTGTCATGTAGTACTTTTACTTGAGTAATCTTTTACCCCACGTAGCTGTACTTTTACTTAACAAAACAGAGTACTTCATTCACCACCAGTATATACAGTGCGTACCCCTTGTTTGGACCCGTAAGGCCACCGTATCTGAATGATGGCAGCGTAGAGCCGGATCATCCCCGACATGCGCTTCAGAAAACTGTCATCTGTTTCCAGCCCGCTTGATTCATCCACACGGTAGCCCATCATCCTGCAGCAACAGACGGATAAACAGACAAATCAAAACTACAGGAGCCATAGAGGGACAAAAAAGGGAAGGTAATAGCTCAAGAGCCTATATCTGATGCTTTTTTCCATGTATTTCAGCAAAATTGCTAACTTGTAGTCACGTAAACATAGCACTCTGAACGTGAGAGGAGCGCTTATAAACTCCATTACAGTGAATACTGAGAATGCAGAAGGTAAGTGAGGAATAACTTTGGAGATGTTTTTACTTTGTCTGGAATGTTTCACAGTATGGCATTAAACCTTTCTGTCTTCATGGAGGCCAAACCACCCCGATATGCCTGTAACGATAATCAATAAATCAATTAATCGTACGATAACTTTTAACGCGCTCGATAACTTTTCCGGCTGTGATCAATTCTATTTGCATGTTTGTTTGTTTTCCTCGCTCTCTTTCGCTCTCAAAGAGACTGAATATTAGAAGGCTTCTATTGCTCTCTGACTCCTCTCGTTTAACAAGTGTAAGGACGCTTGAACCAATGTGCAATGCGTTTATCGACACAGTGGATGCACGCGTAGTCTGAGTGCAGAAAGCGCCGCTGTCTGTGCGCTGAACATGAAGCCGCAACACAAGCGCCGCTTTCAGTGACAAAACAGTTCATTGCCGTGTGACAAAACAAGTCACGATGCCGAATCAACACTGGTGAGTGGGACACGTCTCAACGACCACATGCGTCAAATGCAGCGAGCGCACAAATGACGAGAAGAAATGTCTCAAACCCCAACAGCCGATATAAACCCAAAACCGAGCGAGAGAACTATCCCTGCCCCCGGGACGACCAACACGATACCAGACAGGACAGAGGCTCCCTCATAGGGAAACAGAATTCTGTGTCAGGGGTTAAATACAAACACTTCAAGACCAAAAAGACAAGGCCACAGCAGCAGCCACAGAGAGACAAGACACAATATTCCAATGTAAGTCAGTAACTAAAATAATTTTTAGGGCAATTTTGTTACAGAGACTTAATAATCCATTTTATTTATTGCTTTGGTTATGTTTGGTTCAACAGTGGTTTATTCAAGTGTATTTTTGTGAACAAGTTCTTGCTGTGAGACAGACACATTAGACTAGTCCTGTGTTAACAAGTCTGTTTTATTTAGGCCTGTTGTTTTTGGTTGTCTTACACTTCCTGTGTTAAATGTTGTTATTTAGAAAGTAAGGTTTATTGATCTTTGAAAGGGTGTATTTGCATTTTTACTCCATGGTCATTATATTAGTTGAAATTGGTCTCAAAATGTTAATATTATTGTTTATCGCAATAAATTCTTGGTCAATTAATCATCCAGCAAAATCTGTTATCATTACAGGCCTAGACCCCATCATCAAATATCATACTGTGGAACATTCCAGGCAGAGCAATGACATCTCCATAGAAACAAGCAGGTCCCCCAAGCAGAAAGTAGCTTTAAAATGAACACTTTCAATTTTTCCCATTTTTGAGAGTAAAAATCAGGTACAGCAAGTTATAAAATTAAATTGATATGTTTGTGGAGCCAACCACTAACCAAAATAAATCAGACACAGCACAAGTCAATTCCATTTGCAGATTTCGCAGAACAGTGAATCAACCACAGACCAATATTTGCCCTCCATCCGCAATAAAAGCGGCTCTAGACCGTGACTGCCCCCTGCTGTCTGACCTTTGGTGCTCTACGTCTGAGGTGGCGTCCTCCCTCCGGGGGCTGTAGGGGATGGAGAAGGGGCACTTCCTGTGGAGATGAGCCAGGAACAGGTCTCCCACGATGGGGTGCTGCTCCCAGATCCCCGAGGCCACGGCTGCGATGGGGAAGGCCGCTTCGAAGTGAGATGCTACCTCCTCCTCGCCTTGTTTCTGGATTGAAAAGTGTTGAAATAGATTTTTAATTGCATACTTAAAAATATAAACATACAAGTCATCTGAAAAAAAAACTCAAGAGTTGGAGACTTTATGTTTACTAAAATTAAGTGTCTTAAGAAATAAAGACACGGGGTAACAGAACTAAATCAGGATTAAAGCAGGTCATGATCCTATGACTAAAATATGATTTACATGAGATTTATTGTCATTGTACAATATACAACAAAACTGCGACAGAACAAAACTGCAGCAGTAAAATCAATAAACAAACACATTTTCACATCTATAGCAATAAAAACACATTCATGAATTAAATAAATGTAAAGATGAGTCCCTTAATGCCTAACATCCATGCATGTGTGAATAGAGCACGTTCACTGTACTATATTCTTTGTATCTGCCCCAGTCTGTGCCATTCCCAACATCAGATTTGTCTTTTTAAACACTTCTGCTGTGAGCCTCGACATTTTTGGTCTTAAAATGTTCGTATTAACCCGCTCTACATGATCCTGTTTTTTATCCACTATTTTGTCTGTTTAAAAAATCCTATTCATAATATAAAGCCAAGCTCCAAATTCACTCCTGTAACAGTATCACGAGCTTCATTTGAGTGGAGCCAAACACTATGAGTAACGTCACACTCACGTAGTCCACATTTTTATAGAGTCTGTGATGCAAGCACTGAAATAAAACCAGGACTAAACCAGAACTCAACCAGGTTAAAGCCTATGGGCACAGACTAAACCAGAAATCATGTGTTGACATGATTCATGTCGACACAAGAACAAAACCAGGACCTAACCAGAACACACAACCAGGAGTAGAAATAGGAACTAAATCTGGATTTACGTGGATAAAACTGGACACACACACACACACAAACACACAAACACATAAACACACACACCCGAGCAGCCCCCCCCAGTGTGTTTTAATTCTCATCTTAACCCACTTTGATTCTCTGGCTTTTAACACCACGTGAGCTGTGTGGTCCTGTGTCTTTTATTTATTTGCATTTTATTTTAATTAGATTTTTATTTATTTTATAATTTAAACAATTTTTAGCTTTATGTATTCTAATGCTTTTCATTTATTGCTTTTATTTACTGTTTAATTTACTGCCTTTTACAGTTTTAATTTGTCTGTGCGGTACTTTGGAAACTGTCATGTTTATAAAATGTGTTTGTTATATAAATAAATGGATTGAATTGGATAAAACTAAACTAAATCATGGTGGACTAAAGCTTGACAGATTCGTAAACTAAACCAAGTCATAAACAATGAGCACAACAAAACCAAAGTGAAAGGTAAATGTGACCGACCACAAACTTCTCCGCGAGTTTGTAGCAGGCGAACTGACGTCCCTGCGGGTGATGTGTTGTAGACACAGACGTCCCTCCGGACTGCACCACTTTGCCGCTCAGAAGTTTGTCGATTTTGTCAAAGATTTCGCGGAGGTGGGAGCCAGAGTTGGTGGAGATCTGACTGACGGGGATCACAGACGCCTTCAGTAAATTCAACTTCAGCTTCTTCAACTGTCAGACAAAACAGGAATTTGATAAGATTTCATCCTGTAGAAGCAGCTTAAGGTGCACTATGTAACTTTGAGGCTGGGGATCCGTCACCTGCTTGTTTCTGTGAATATATATAATAATAAATCTTGATTTATAAAGTACTTTTAAAAACAAAAAAATAGCATCCAGAAAGCAAACAAACAAACAATGAAGCAAACAATCCAATTAAATATAATAAGTTAATAAAATAGAATAAAATTGTGCTAAAACCAGCTAAAGGAAGGTCAACTGATAAAAATGGGTTTCAAGAAGTGATTTATACTACTGGTGCAAGCCTTATTTCTTCATCCTTTCCACATCCTTGCTGAGGATGTAAGACTGCGGGACGGGTCATTGCAGTGTCACTGCTCTGCCTGTAATGTTCCACAGTACAACATTAAACCACTCTGCCTATCATTTCTTCAAACAGAGGTGGTTTTATTGCTCAAAAACACATAGAATAACAGGCATTCTGACTGTGAGCGGGGATCACCTCTCTACAGTTTTTCTAGATATTTGAGTTATAAAACCACCTGTAACTGAATAAATGTTAAGTAGAGCTGTTTAATGTCATATTGTGGGACATTGCAGGCAGAACAATGATATATCCACAGAAACAAGTAGGTGACCCCAACCAAAAAGTTACATAGTGCACTTTTAAATAACTATAAATGCAGAAATTTCAACTAACTATGGAACAATTATAGTGGCATTTCACAAGCAGCTGATTTTAAATAACTTCTTTTAGTTTTTATTTGCCATTTTGCACACACACAAACGCCCACACACTTTGTATTACTCATGAGTTAACTGAAACACAGGTCTGACATGGTTAAAAGTTCATAATTATGTTCACTTAATGTTTGCGAAAAAGGGCACAGATCATAGATAAAGATAAAAATATGATATAAACAAATACAAAGAGAATGTGAAGTCCAAACCTTGGCGTCTTTGGTGGAGTTCAGCTCTTCGAAGGACTGGGCCACAGCGTCGGCAGAGTCCTGGAGTTCTTTGTACCATTTCAGAGTGGAGTCTTCTGGGACGCTCTGGAGCCCTGACAGTGGACAGCACTATTGTTATTCAAAGCTATAGAATAGAATTAAATGCTTTTGTCTGGTATTAGTGTTCATCTATCACACGTGTAACTCATTACTTTTCATTTTGTAGAATTTTTCTTACTTTACATTTACCTTCAACGTCTTAATATCACCACAACAAAGGACCATACTGTCAGCTTTCTGGCTTTTCCTAACAGCACTTGACTGTAGTGAGCAGCCAGTTTTCATAAAAGGTTTTTTGTTTGGTATCAGTACGAGGAGAAAATTCAGTTTGTCGACTGGACAAAAGTTAGTTTGGTTGAAGACGTTTCGCAGTTCATCCAAGCTGTTTCTTCAGTTCTGGTCAGATGCTGGTGGACACTTCCTTATATCTGCAGGGAGGAGCGAACTAACTGAAAATAACACACCTACTTGTTTACAGTTTCTGTACTGTACAGCGTCTGACCAGAACTGAAGAAGCAGCTTGGATGAGCTGCAAAACGTCTTCAACCAAACTAACTTTTGTCCTGTCGACAAAATGAATTTTCTCCTCGCCCTGGATTCTACCTGGACGACTGAGGGATTCTTCACACATTTTGGTACCAGTACTTCAGTTGGTCTAAATGGTCATGTTTTTATATAAATGCTTTTCATGCAAAGCACTTTACATCAAGAAACCATTCATCCATTCACACACACATTCATACACCAGTGTACGCAAACACTTGGGAAAAGGTTTGATTGATTGCTTTGTTTTTATTTTGAGTTTGTGCCAAGAGACAAAAAATTATACAGAAAACTTACATTAACCCACCTCTATTCACATAGTTCCAAAAATGATGTGGTTGCTTATGTACCGTATTTTCCGGGCTATTAGACGCACTCTTATGCCTCTAACCCCATCAAAAAACGACTGCGCACCCCACAATCCAGAGCGCCCTATACACAAATCCACTCGGGTGTCCCAGCACGACTTCAGTAAACTACAAAGCCGCACCACCCACAGAACACACAAACACACACGGAGCAGACAGCGACCGCACAGCGAAACACACCCACAGCCACACTCATCACTCCACGTCGACGAGGAACGGAACGAAGGAACGAACCGAAAAAGCGAGTGCAATGTGCCACTTCTAGACACAACTGAACAACTGAGTCACTGTGAACACGCCGACAATCCGTTGGTCCCAGACAGCACCCTCCCTACACACCACAACTGAACAAAGCCCAGAGTCACCGTGAACGCGAACAAACAAACAAAACCACTCACCCATCACACTGTTGTGTTTCCTTTAAAGTCCGGTGTGGTTTATTTATGAAAAAAGTTCGAAAATAGACCATTTAATGACAGTGCATCTTGTAATTCAGAGCGCCTAATAGCCCGGAACATATGGTACATTGATCACAAATTTGATCACAAAAATATTTAAATATAGCTAAATAAATTACGCATTATATATATACTAAATGTGCTATAAACATAACCATTTTAATCCATTTCCTTTATTTTCTTTGTATTGCATGTATTATGTTTTACAATTATATTTTTATCTGTGTAGTTTTTTTTTTTAAGATCACTCAGTGCTGTCACTCTTATACCATAGAAGCAAAAGCTCTTTATAATTTCTTTTGAAGCTGTGAATAAGGTGGGTTAAGTGTCTTGCCCAAAGACACAAAGAACCACCAGCCCACACTATGATGATAAAAGTGGATCTTGTGGTATTACGGTATAGTATAGGGATAGGGCCATCCACCCGCCTCAAATTTAAAACACATCTTGACTCACCTGTTCTCTTGGCCTTCTCTTTGGCCGTCTCCGCTGCCTTCTTCTCTGCCTCCTGTTTGGCCTTCAGCTCCGCCTCTTTCTTCCTCTGCTCCTCCAGCTCTGCCTCTTTCTTCTTCTTCTCCTCGGCTCTGTTCACCTCCTCTTGCTGCTGATGGATCAGAGCTCTCATGTTGTGGAGGGCGCGTTCGGCTATGGTCATGTCCTCCACACTCGGGAAATCACCCTGAAAAAACAAAAAATAAGAAAATAAGAAAACAAAAGTTGATAAGACTGTGTTAGGAAGTGGGCTAAACTTGGATTAAAACTGAAAACTGTGTTAATCCATATTAGAGGCAGGTGATTTGAATAAAAAGATGCACGATGCAGCTTTTCTCCGCCACCTGCTTCACAGTTGGAGATGATGTTTGTTTGCCTGGAATGTTCCACAGAATGCTGTAAACTATATAATCCATATGAAATTAAAAGGAGTTTAATGTCAAAAAACACTTGGTTTGGTGGTGTTACTCGCTTGTTTCCATGGAGATTGTGAAATTTTATGCCATTCTGTGGAACATTCGAAGCAAAAACAATATCATCATCTTAGAGAAAATTTTGGACCCTCACCTAAAAACGTATATAGTGCTCTAACATTGAACAAAACAAGACAAGATTTTTAAATGATTTACTCTGTACCAAAATAACAGAATCAGCTCACAGTTTTGGTCACATGATATTCAGTTTATTTAAATATACATTGTGTTGTGATTGTATTGGTATGTATTGACAATTTGGTCACTTTTATCATTTTAAAGTCATATTCATTATGCTTTTGTGCCTAAATGCATTTTAGGTTTTAAAGAGTCTATAGTTTAGTCTATATCAGGAGTAAGCAGTTATTTTTTCCATGGCGTCACATGAGAAACAGAAAATATTGTGAAGGGCCAAAATGCTGAACTCAATTCTGCATAATATGAATTGTATTTCTTTATAAGAGCAGTAAATATCATTGTTCTGACGTGCTGTTGAGACTGGTTAAAGTTTATGTTATGACTAAGCAATGAAAACATGAGGCTGCCTTACAAAAAATGTCATTAAAAAAACACTCCCAAAATAAAACCAATGCAGATTTAGTCCATGCATGAAGTAAAATGATAAAATATGTTTATTTTGTAAGTTCAAATGATCTTAAATGGGCCGGTCAGAGTATTTTATTTATTTGAACACTATATTCATAAAGATTTTCATATAATACAAAAAAACATTATGAAAATTGATTATTTAAACACTTATATACAGTCCCTGACAAAAGTCTTGTCGCTTATCCATTTTGTAGAAACAAAAGCTTATAACCTGACTTTAAATGAATCGATTGGTTTTAGAAATGTCTCATATGAAAGCTAAAACCCTCCCAAATTATGCTCAATATACTAAAATAAATTTGCTTCACTGAAGAAAGATTGATCATTTAATGAACACAGAAAGGTCAGATTTTGGCAAGACAAAAGTCTTGTCGCCTTGTTATATGATGCACCCAATCCTAGATTACCGCCTCACCGGTGATCAGTTACTGATCATTCAATTAGTGGGTGTGTATAAAAAGAACCCCAGCACAACAGACCTTCACATCAACTGCAACTTAACCTCTGACAACATGCCTAAGATCCACCCTGAGACCAAAGCGTTAATTATCAAGAGGCTGAAGACCAGATCCACTGCTGAGGTGGTGACACCTTCAATGTGTCTCAGCGTCAAGTACAAAGAATAAGAAAAAGACTGGAGATGTTTTTGACAAGCTCAGGTCCGGCAGACCCCGCAAGACAACTGCTCGGGAGGACTGTTTGTTGATTCGAAAATCCAAAGCCAGCCCCTTTTCCACTGCAGCAGAGCTCCACCAGACCTGGTCACCTCAAGTCCCTGTGTCAACCAGAACAGTTTGTAGAATTCTGTCTCAAAATGGCCTCCATGGTCGAATCAGTGCACAGAAACCAGCACTAAACAAAAGGCAATTAAAAAAACGTGTGGCATTTGCCAAGGCCCACAGCCTGCTAAAAGGATGGACACTGGAAAAGTGGCAGAAGGTGGATTTCTCAGATGAATCCTCGGTTGAATTACATCACAGCCGCCGCAGGAGACCTACTGGAGCCCGCAGGGATCCAAGATTCACCCAGAAAACAGTTAAGTTTGGTGGTGGATAAATCATGGTCTGGGGTTACATCCAGTATGGGGAGTGCGAGACATTTGCAGGGTGGAAGGCAATATCAATAGCCTAAAATATCAAGAAGTATTAGCTACCTCTTACATTCCCAACCATAAAAGGGGTCAAATTTTGCAGCAGGATGGTGCTCCATCACATACTTCTATCTCTACATCAAAGTTTCTCAAGGTGAAGAAGATGAAGGTGCTCCAGGACTGGCCAGCCCAGTCACACCAGACATGAACATCATTGAGCATGTCTGGGGTAGAATGAAAGAGGAAGCATGGAAGGCAAAACCAAAGAATCTTGATGAACTCTGGGAGGCATGTAAGACGCTTTCTTTGCTATTCCTAATGACTTCATCAACAAATTGTATGAATCATTGTGGAACCGCATGGATGCGTCCTTCAAGCTCATGGAAGTCATACAAGATATTAAATATGGATCTCACAGCACCACTACTTCATTCACTGAAGTTATGCAACATATTTTTGTATTTGAAGTAAATTATTTGTTCAATTTTCTGTAGGCAACAAAACTTTTGTCTTGCCAAAATCTGACCTTTCTGTGTTCATTAAATGATCAATCTTTCTTCAGTGAAGCAAATTTATTTTAGTATATTGAGCATAATTTGGGAGGGTTTTAGCTTTCATATGAGACATTTCTAAAACCAATCGATTAATTTAAAGTCAGGTTATAAGCTTTTGTTTCTACAAAATGGATAAGCGACAAGACTTTTGTCAGGGACTGTACACTCGATATTTAAACACTACACTTGTGCACAGTCTCAGTCTCTAAACTTAATATTGTTAAAATGCTAAGTGTTGGTGTAATATTCTAGGGTCTGGTTACTAATAGATGTGGACAGGGAACATTTGTGATACTTCATGGGAAAGTACAATGTAATGTAAAGTAATCTGTCTCTTGCCCGTCCATCTGTAAACATGAATCTGAAAACCACCAATAGCACTGGTTTATCTAGGAAGCAATGGCCATTTTGGATAGATACTAGGGATGTAACAATATCCAGATCTCTCTGTAAAATCATTTCATGACACACATCTCATGGTACGATATTTATTGCAATATTTTGTGGAGTCTAACAAAGCTGTGAATATGCTACTTTTCTTTTGTCATAATCCAAATTTTTAAGATTGAAAAGTGCTTAATAACAGTTATTTCCTCATATAGATTGAACTGAATAGAGCAAAGGATCATGGTCTATGTTTTTATCTCTGTTTTTAGCTGTTGTTGTACTAAAACAATTAATTTAACCAAAAACGCTTGTAATTCTATATATTGTGATGGCCCACGATATTATTGTGAGACTTTTGATGATACAATATCACAATATTTCAGTTGTTTGTTGTTTTGTTACATCCCTAATAGATACTGTGCAAAACAAAACACGCACAAAAAACACACACTACATTTCAAGTCTAAACTAATAGTTTTAATGGTTAGTCCCAGTTTGAGGACTCTAGCGACATTATCACATACCTCCGCAGTTTTCCGGACCACCTCAGAGACCTGGGAGCACAGCTGGTTCCCCCTCTGGCACAGCGCGGCCAGACTCTGCACCAGGACTTGTGCGCTGGGGTCTTTGGGGTCCTTGGGGGAGTTCAAGGCCTGGTTAAGGACCTGGTTGAGCTGTAAGACTTCTTCCTGGATGGAGTTTAGAGTTCGGAGACGCTCCCTGCCCTCTGCCTGCCTCTGCCTCTCCAGCTCCGCCTCTCTCAACCTCTGTTGCTCGGCCTCGCGGAGACGAAGGTTTAAAATCTGAGGAAGCAATGACATTTTGACAAGGTTTGGGTGAGAAAGAAGATGTTTTTATGTTTTTTTATTGTTGCAAGGTAATTTAACAAATGTACAAATGCATCTCTCGTGTGTTATACATATGAGATAAGCCTACTTTGATTACTGTATTTTTCAGACTATAAGTTGCACTTTTTTCATGGTTTGGGTTGTCCTTCGACTTATATATTAAAATATATAACTTCACATGTTCATAATTTTCACACCAACAGCCATGAGAGGGCACTCTAGGCTTGTGTGTCAGTATCTGCTACTCCTATTATGCCTGTAACATTGAAAATAGAAAAATTTATATAACCTTATAAAGGGCACACTCACACTGGGACTTTTGAACCGTGCCCTGTTCAAGCACGATTGCGCTGGTTTCTATGGCCCACACTCACACGTGCACAACTGAACTGGGCCACGACCTCATGACGTCATCACATGGTGCGGTTTGTTTACATGTTGCACAGTAGTGCCATCACTTTAGCAGAGAATACAAGTCCAGCAGCATGAAATATATAAAATAGTGAGATATGAGCTCTGCTGTGATACACGCTCACACGAGTTTACTGATTTAACAACAGTGCAGAGGAGTGAGGACAGCAGGAGGAGAGAGGCTGCAAAACTTCTGTGGCTGTCCACAGTTCTCATTGAAGGTTAGCGCGTATTCGCTATATGTTTTGCAGTCACTTTATTTGCTGTTTTCCTCACATGAGTAACATCAGCGCACACACAGGGGTCGTATAGTAAAGTCGTGCATGTGCACGTACATGAGGAACCGAGCCGTGCTTTGGCCCACCTCCTAAATTCATAATAAATTTCTCCCAAAAAGTGCAACTTATAGTCCAGTGTGACTTATGTATGTTTTTTGATTCTTCTTTATGCATTTTTTGGCTGGAAAAATACATTATGTTTAAATCCAGGCTCAAGACGGGTTCTGTTCTGTGATCTGGCTTTTAAAAAATCATGTTATTAATTGTTTTACATTCTCCTTGGCATACCCAAGCTAAAAAGAACTGCATGGTACTCTGCTGTTCAAAAATCTTACATGCATCTTACATGTTTTGTTTCATTCACTAGAACTTGTTAAGTGAAATCATCTCATACCTTTGTTCGATGCCGCTGTTCCTCTTTAAGTTTTTCTTGTCGCCCCATGCTTTCCTTTGTTCTGAAACAAGTAAAAATAAGTGTTTATTAATACACTGGTGCATTGTGTAACTTGTCTCTCCATGGGATTTTGTCTGGAATGTTTCACAGTATGGCATTAAACCAAATTTCTATCTTCATGGAGACTAAACCACACCAAGTTACAGTACAGGTCAGATCTGTGGAGAGGCGACCTCGCTCACAGTCAGAATGCCTGTTTTTCTAGGTATTTTTGAGCTATAAAAAAAACCTGTAACTGAATAAATGTAAAGTACAGCTGTTTAATGTCACACTGTGGAACATTCTAGGCAGAGCAATAGCATATCCATAGAAACAAGCAAGTGACAGACCTCCAGTGTGCCTTTAATATTGTAATAAAAAAAAAAAATTACTCAGTTTACCCATAACATATCAATATTTTGAAACCTGATAAGCAAATGTCTGGTTGATGGTTTATATGTTATATCTAGTCAAACTTACTAACAATGTCTTCAAATACTTGATAAGAAGTAAGGGTTTAAGTGTTTTATGAATATATCATTGACAAACAATTTATTCAAGTCAATTATGTAAAAACGTCAAAGGTGCACTATGTAAGTTTTTGGTTGGGGGTCTGTCACCTGCTTGTTTCTATGGAGATGTCAATGCTCTGCCTGGAATGTCCCACAGTGTGACATTAAACAGCTCTACTTTAAATTTATTCAATTACAAGTGGTTTTATAGTTCAAAAATACCTAGAAAAACAGACATTCTGACTGTGAGCACAATCGCCTCTCCACAGATCTGACCTGTAATTTGGTCTGGTTTGGTCTCCATGAAGATAGAAAGGTTTAATGTCATACCGAGGAACATTCCAGACAAAGCAATAACATCTCCATGAATAAAAACATTTGACAGATCAGAAAAGTTACACAATGCACCTTTAAGAAAACTGAGTACTTGTACCAGGGATGTACTTGACTACATCCCTAGTTATAACTAGTGTATATTTTACAGTTTTATTTATTTGTTTTTACTCACTTGTTTTTATTATGTTTTTATTGTATTAAATTGTAGTTTGTTATTGTTTTCTATGTGCAGCACTTTGGAAAAAAGTCCTTGTCAATAAAATGTACTATAGAAATAAAGTGGACTGGATTGGAAAACATTGGCATTTGTGTGTGTGTTGTGTGTTTGTCTAGACTCACTCTCTGTCCATCATGTCCCTCACACTCTGCAGGTCTTGTCTCTGCTTCAGCTCCATCAGCTCCTCGAAGCGTTTGAGCTGCTCCGTCTCTGAGCTCACCACCGCCGCCACCAGCTTATCCTGCTCCTCCTGCCTCCTACGCACCGCCAGCTATACACACACACACACACACACACAATTTTAAAGCTCAAAATGGACTCTTGTGAGCTTAAAGTTATGTTATAATGACATTACCTCAACACAAACAGACCTGGAGTTGTGTTTTCTTTCATTCCGACATGTTTAACTCATAAATCCTGCAGATTTAGGCTCTCAAATGGAAACACTCCACCTTGTGTTGTCACATGGTAATACAGGAAGTGTTCCACTGTGTTTTTAAACTCCATACACCTTCACTAGAATCATTTGGATAATATCAGGGATGGAATTGTCGATTTCTACTGAACAAAATGTAAAATGTAGCTCTTAACTTGAAAAATACCGCTTAATGACATCACAAGGTGGAACAGAGCATTATGAGCTTTGGAGATGTAGACAGACTAGAGATAAAGGGCTACTCAAACATGTGTAAATGAAACAGTCATTCAAACGTTGTCAAAATGAAACAAAACACAACTCCAGGTCTGTTTGTGACGACAACATTATAACATAGATCAGAAGATAGCGTAATATAGGCCCTTTAATGTTGCTGCCTTTTACAGGGCCTTACCTGATTCAAACCAAGACTCAGGAACATGGTTTAGTTTCAACTTTTCATCCCAATGTTGAGATAAACATTATTTGAGAACTTGCAATGAAACTGAACTTCTATAGGACTTTTGAAAGTTACAAAAAATGCCTATAACAACAGTGGCAGCAACGTATACAATTATTGGTAGGGATGCACCAATCCAAAAATGTTAGCGCGTATCAGCATCGATACAGAAAATTCTAGTTGAGCCTAAATGTTTCGGTTTCTTCTGGTCATAGTTGGATCACAATCTTTGAACTTTTATTTACACAAAACTGTTCAGTTGTTACTAGTGAGATAAATAACAGCTACATTACACATTTGAAGCAGTTTTGTCTTATTTTATTTTTGTTTAAAGGAAATAAATGCTGTTTTCAGTCTCTGCTTTGATATTAGTTGATATCGGGTATCGGTCGATATCAACTATTTAAATCTGTAGTATCTAAATTGGTACGGAACTGAACTCCCTAATTATCAAATCTACATGACTAAAGTAAGTAAAATAAACAATTAACGTGTAAGTATTCTCACAGAAAAAAAAAAAAAAACATTAAATTGCCCCACAAAACCTAGTCACTCCGTGCACAGTTTAGTTCTGACCTTGGCTTTCTCCCTCATTTCCTCCTGGCAGCGAATGATTTGTCCGGCCGTTTTTATTTCTTTGGGCGACACTAGGAGGAGCCCCGTGGTCGGAGGGGGACTGAGCACCACTTCAGCAGGAGGCTCTGGTTCTATGGAGGGTTCACTGACCACCTAAAAACATTACACAGATTAGTATTACTCTCATCACCTGTGACAAGAGATGATCCGAAGTATGCCACAATACAGCACGAACGTCAAAAAATGTATGTTACAATTTCTCCAAAAAGCTCCACAGACTGGAATTCGTTTGGTCTACATGCCATACGTCTGTACAACTGTTCACTATAAATGATGAATTACTGCTGCATTATTATTTATTTATTTATTATTATGCTCCATTGTTGCTGCTGAAAAATGAATTTCCTTCAAGATCAATAAAGTATTTATCAATCTATCAATATGCCAAAAGTCCATACAAATGCCTTAGCAATAACAATGTAAAAAAACAAAAATAGAACATAGAACAACCCAATAAGATGTTGGGTCACGTCTGGTAAATACATCTATCAGTCTACACGGTCAGAGTACTTTTGATGAACACTGTTTAGTATTTATGAAGATCTTTAAATCCCCACTGGACTTAGAGGTATAGTTTTTTTTTTCTCAACATAATCAAAATACACAAACACCAAGGCAGGGGACAACCAGGACTGTCAAAATCCCACAAACAACACGGGAAGAAAACACAAATACGCTTCAACAAAATCAAATAAAATGCAACAGAAAATAATACTGTTAAATTATACATATTTCCTGTCGAAATAGTATGTTTTAATTTATTTTTTTGTTGTTGTTTTTTATCATTTTATTGTCTGGAAATGGTGTATTTCGTTATTATAGTGCTGACCATTTGGTTTATTTTGAGTAAATTTTTTCTTGTGCATATGATATTTGGCCAGCATGAATGAATGAAGCTGAATGAGGAAGCCAAGATCATTGGGAATGGAGAGGTGGTAGAAGAAAAACAGATATCCTGCTGACATTAAATCACCTGCACAGTCCAATATTTTGCTATGTCCGACCTGCCTAAACAACACACACAAAGTTTTATTGAACACTTAACTACGAAGAGAAGCACAAAACGTGACAACATGGCTCTCACAGGTTTGTGGTAAAAAAGGGTTGTGGGTGAGTTTGTAGTCAATCTATAATTATAAAAATTTTCCAAAAATATCAGAGCTTATCGGCCATTGGTTTCTTTAGATTCTAAACAATCGGCCATGACAGATCTATATTACTAGTTACTTACAAAAACAAACTGAACTAGTAATACAATTTCATCCATTTACCTGTTCCGTGTCCTGTTTTGTGGGGGAGGCTGAGGAGACTGTGGAAAGCCCATTGTGATTCCTGTTAATGAGGCTGAGGATGGAGCAAGAGGAGAAGGAGTTGTGGGCATTCTCAGAGAAACCCGGACTCGAATCACCGGATCCGGAGCTAAACCTCGACTTGTTTAAATGGAGCGAACTGAGGCGCTCCACCACAGAAGCAGAGTACGAGGAGAGGCTGGGGGATTCCTCGTAACCTGCCAAAATGTCCTAGAAAAGAAGAGACAGTGGTGCAATGCTGCTGGATTTCAGATAATATCATAACATACTGTATACATTTATATAATTATGTCTTATTTGACGTCTCTTGCTACTTATTTAGAATTTATTATTATACCATATCTCTTTGTTGTCATATGCTGTGAGCTACTGTGTCCAAATAATTTCCCTTTTGCAACAATAAAGTTTGTATATGTCTATAACATTAATATAACAAAATGATCGCAATGTGGAGACTATGTGGGGACTGGGTAAAAACAGCAGAGACACTGGCCAAGTCACTGGTTACTTGGACACTCGAAATCTAATTAGTGTAAGATTTCTGAAGTCGTCCGATTATGAAAATGAGTGTGACATTTAAAACAGCAAAATTTGGAATTTGCAGTAGTGTTGTCATGATACTAAAATTTGAAACTTGATTTTGAAACTAAAGAATAGACTCGATACTCCATACTGATTTTGACACCAAAATTTGTATTTTTTTTAAACAATATTGTTATTTTTGATATTAAATAATAGTATTTGCTAATTATATGATGTGATCTTACGCTAGTTCTGATATAACTCAAGGTAAAACTGTTCAAGAACTGTTTTTTTTTTGCCGATACTTGCTTAAATAAGTATCTAGTTTGAGTTTTGATTCGAATCTGATTTTCAATACTTCTGACAGCCCTACCGTGCAGTTTGTCATAAATAATCTGACAACTGAAGCCTTTCATGTCCATGTAAACATAGCCAATAACTCCTTAATGTAAATGACCAGGTAAACAAAACTGCAATCCACAGATTCTATTTACGTCATTTGGGCCCAGTTAAATTACTCTAAAATTATCCTTGAATTTAATAATTGCCATTTTAACATCACAGCCATTGATACTACATGTTTGTGGAGTTAAATGTTTGATTATTTTCCACTGAAGAGAGTCAAAATTATGCTGATGCGAAAAAGTTTTATGGCTCAAAACCATTGGATCAAAATGTCCTACAAGCAGTGTTGGGGAGTAACAGATTGCATGTACCGAAGTTACATAATCAGAATACAAATTATGAGTAACTGTATTCAGTTACAGTTACTGTCTCAGTGAGTTGTAATTGGATTACAGTTACTTTGTTGAAATAAATGGATTACACAGCGGTATTTTCCTGTTTTCACATTTTGGGTGATATCCCTTTTTTTTTCGGTAATTCCACTCATTGCCGGACACTAAACCAGGACTAAAACCAGGACTAAAACCAGGACTAAAAACAGGACTAAAAACAGGACTAAAAACAGGACTAAAACAGGACTAAAACAGACAGGACTAAAACAGGACTAAAAACAGGACTAAAACCAGGACTAAAACCAGGATTAAAACAGGACTAAAACAGGAATTAACAGGATTTAACAGGACTAAATCATGCTGTGTGGACCGTGTCTCCTCCTCTTCTATCAATAATATTTTTAATTTGGTTCAGTAAAGTCTGGGCTTTTCATTTTCTTTTATCAGACAAAACATCTTATGTGAAGATTTCCTCGTCTTTGCTTCTCTACAGCAAATCAAGTAATCCAAAGTATTCAGATTACGTGACTCACTTTAAGTAATTTAATGGATTACGTTACAAACTACATTCTGGGGTGTGTAATCTGTAATCTGCAGGGGAATACATTTTAAAAGTCACCTTCCCAACACTGCCTACAAGCTAAGATAATATGAAGTCTTTATAGAGCACTTCACTTTAAATTCATACTGAACAGACAGTGAGTTACAAAGGGAAACTACTCAATCAACGCCAGAATAGAAAGTAATGCTATGCTAGAAGAATGCTACAAGAAAAATGCTGTGGTATGACTTACTGCCAAACGTACATATGTAAAACGACTGGGTGATTAAGACATATATAGATTTTGCTTTGATTGCCCACGTTTTCAAACAAAGATTAAATCACAGAACTAGTGAATATGTCCATGTTATAAACTTAGCCAAACAGCTAATAGAAACTAAGTTCAGCATTTTCTCACCTCTCCTCTGTCAGACCAGTGCGGATCATAGTGAAGTTTCCCTTTTGGAGAGTTTTTCAAGGCTTCTAGCGTTTCCCATCGGCGACTGTCTGATTGCATTTTGATAAAGAAGAAAAAAAATAAAATAAAAATGTGTTTTAGCAGCGACAAAACCGCCACATGAGTCCGCTTTAAAGGCAGTCCGGGGAGAAACAGAAGGTGATGGTTTGTCGTTCCGCTTTGACTTAAAACTGTTTTCACGGATCTACACAAGTGTAATGATGATCAAAATAAACCAAATATTCATCAGTATAATATCGAAATCTAACAATATTTTCAAACAATAAAACAGGTCCAAAACAAAAAAGCAGTTAAAACTTACAATATCTATAAGAAGTATAGTATAGCTTTATTTAATTTATGACATTATTTTGTTTGTTTGCTTGTTTGTTTTGCTGTTGTTTAGTTTTGGTTTCATTCCTTCTGCTCTCCTGTATGATAAATTGCAAACCACCCCATATTGTAGTGTAGCAGTGCGCGCCTGCTGCCTTCTGCCACCAGGTGGCGCTTGGGTTTATAAAAGGGCACTCTCCGTAGCGTCTCGTTCCCTGACCTCGGCGCACTTCCGGGTTAGGGCCCCACCTTGTCGCGCACAGGTAAACAACCGCTGTTCTCTAATTACAATTGCAATTTAATAATTTAATGTGTGGCTTTATTGTAGTGCCACCGCTCCCAGAGTCCCGATGGCCCGATCGAAGTTATGGCTCGTGAGTAAAGCTCCTGTGTGTATTTGCTGTTTATCGCCACAAGTGCCGCTGTTAGCCGCTGTCCACGGTTGGGTCGGTGTTGGGTCGGTGTTGCTGTCAGATGCCCCGGCCGCTCGGCGTCAAGTGTCGTGGATGTGGAAGTGTGTGTTTTGTGGTACGTTGGCTGGTCACTGGTTTAGGTTCATGTATGGGGCTACTACCAAGTGAAAGGTAAAATATAATGTTCATTTTAGGGTCCAGGGTGGTCTTCGGCATGTCATCTGGTGGAGCGGTGGCCCTGTGAACGAGCTGCTGCTTTGTTTTACTGTGTTTTATATTTTAAGGACAAAATCACCGTACAGCTGCTTTTGTGACCGTTTTATCGGCAGTTGTGTGAACAGTGAATAGTCTACTCTTAAAGTTAATCTAACAAAAGGAAACAAATGAATTATGGCAATAATAAATTACTTCATGTTTTGTAAGTCACTTGTCTCTGTCAATTAACGAACCTGTGAGCCTTTTAGTTTAGTAAATTTAGTTTTAGTTTCTGGGCAATGCCCAGTGGCGTTGTTGGTCTTATGTTGATTATATTACTTTGGGGTTCTCTTATACACCCCTCCCATATACCCCGCTCGCCACAGTAGAAAAAAAACCCGTATGTCTATGTATGTACATGTATATTTTCCACACCTCACTCCTGCCATAACTGTGAACTGGATCTTGCATTGATGCAACAGCAATTCCATCTGCACTTTATGCTGTATGTAGCTCTGATGTTTTGTATTGTTATGTTTTCTGCAATAGGAAAGAAAAAAAAAAAGACTTTCATAGAAGAAAACCATGACGACTTATGCAACAATACTGTATGCAATTTATATTGTGTCTACAGTTGCTGTTTTGTCGTGTTGTTTCTGTAATATAAATAAATTAATTAATTTTTAAAAAGTGTGATGATGGTACAGAAGACACTAAAACTAAAAGTGTTCGGTTCTATGCTGAAATACCAGAAGCAGCCATCATGAAACCTTTTTTTTTTAATTGCAGAAAACATAGCAACAACACAAAACATCAGAGGTATATACAGTATAAAGTGCAGATGGGATTGCTGTTGCATCAAGGCAAAGTCCAGTTCAGTTATGGCAGGACTGAGGGGTGGAGAGATATGTATGTATGTACGTACATACATACATACGTCTTTTTTCCCCCCTACAGTACGGGGGTGGTTTGCAATTTATTATACTGTACATATTACAACAACAAAAAACACAAATCCCACTATTACTGCTAAGAAAATATACACACAATAAATATTGAGCCCCAAATATATTGTTCCAGCTATCATACATTAAATGATAAGTCAATATAGTAATTCTTCTAACAGGCCTTTATCAACTTCAACTGTAAACCTTTAATTGCTATATCAAACTATAATAATTGTCTCCCTGCAGTGAGGAATCTTGGGGTGATTGTGGACTCCATGTTTAAACTGGACAAGCACATTATAGCTGTGATCAAGTCCAGCTTCTTTCAGTTGAGGCTCCTCGCTAAAGTAAAGCCCGATCTCCCACGGGCGGAGTTGGAAAGAGCGATCCATGCTTTCATAACATCATGCCTGGACTATTGTAATTCTTTGTATTCATGGTTAGATTAGGGCTCCTGCAGCGCTTACAACACGTCCAGAACACTGCAGCTTGTCTGCTCACAAATACTAAGAAACATGAACACATCACACCTGTGCTGTGTGACCTGCACTGGCTCCTGTCTTCTATCGAGTGCAAATTAAAATGTTGTTAATTGTTTTCAAGTGTTTGCACTCTATGAGTCCAGTGTATCTGAGGGAGTTACTGCAGCCCTATTCTCCAGAGCCCCGAGATCAGACCAGCTCCAGTTGGTCGAGCCCAAAACTAGGCTCAAGGCAAGAGGTGACAGAGACTTCTCTGTGGCAGCGCTCAAACTGTGGAACAGCCTTCCTCTTCCTGTCAGATCCTCTCAGTCTGTAACAGTTTAAGACGAGACTGAAAACTCACCTCTTCTCCCTGGTGTTTAGTATGAGCTACTCAGGTTATCTTGGTGTTTTTATTGTAGTTTTCACATGTTATCTGTATATATGTATATGTAAGTGTTTCTTCTGTTTTGACTTGTATGTGAAGCACTTTGGTCAGCTAAAGTTCTTTTAAATGTGCTATAGAAATAAATAAATAAACTATGATACACATCATTTTATTTTCTACTAAAATACAGATTTCATGCAGCTGTTGATGCTTTGAAAAACAAACACATAATAAATCTATATATAACTTTTATTTGTCAGTCACTTGGTTTTACATGTGCAAAATCCTAAAGGGAATATACAAATATTTTTTGTGAAATGCTAAGTGTGATAACAGCACATTACACTTACAAAACTGATGAGGGACAAAGTCTAGCAATAAGTAAACCATGTGATTGTGTGAGGAATGTGTGCCATCCTACAGAAACTGAACTTTAAAAAACATTAACTATTCTTAATTTGACAGGTAGCAAAATAAAGTGTACTGTTGTTGAAATCCCTGGCTAAAACTATATGGCCTGCACCTCATAACCTCCAAGATAGCCTCAACATTACACTAAAATTCACCTAGTCTTAAAATCACATCAAAAATTCACCTAGTTTTAACATTGCATTAGACTTTTACATATTCTTAACATTGCATCAAACATGCCATTAAATATCCTCCAACATTGCATCATGTTATGTCACTCGTCTAGTCTAGCTGGACTTGTTCGTTGTAGAGATGAAATTAAGGGAAAACTCAACAAAGAATCCAAACAAGTGATTTGTCTTTGTCTTATTTTTCGGCTTTTTATTCAGGTTTTACTGTGTCATTCTGTGACTGGGGAATACCAGCTCGTCGCTGTGCAAGCTCATTGACTCAAGTAATCACCTTGGTCAATACACAGCAGGGTATCGTGTTCCCAGCTACTCGATGACTACAATTTTACTCAAAAGCTCAAATACAAAATAATTAGGACAAATCACTATGCAAGTACCTTAGGAGCATTTACCCTGTGACTAGGTCTGCTGCAGAGCGCTGCCTAGTTCAAATGTGGGATCTGCTTTACTAGCAAAGGATACGCTAGTGAGGTCAATGACAAAACTGATGCAGGATCTAAATTTGCAGAGAATTTCACCTAATATTTATACTATAGATCCCACAGGGCTCCTCCCAAGTACATGCAGAGTGATCAGTCTTCCCACATAGCATTACTGAGAAGTATATAGATAGATAGAGGACGCTTCAAAAACTGCATACTTTGCTCTGCAGGCCAGTCGCCCACCTAGCAAGGTGCAAGGGGCTGTAGCACAAATGAATATAAGAGAGTGGAGTCAAAAGCATCAGCAGATTCAGGAACAGTTTCTTCCCCACAGCTGTTTCCTTACTGCACTCTATCTCCCCGCTGAACCCCCGTGTCACCCACTCACCCCCTCCCTCTGCTCTATCCCCCGCTGAGCACCCGTGTCCCCCGTGTCACCCACTCACCTCCTCCCTCTTCATCTTCCTGCAATGAATCAATGACATGTTCATATTACATCTGATACATAACTTTCTATGTATTTATTTACAGTGCACTTGTTCATATATGTCTTTTGTTCATTTATATATGTCATACATATTTATATTTTCTATAGCACACCTTGTATATTTGTTCATAGTATTCTACTGTTTACAATACATCTGATTATATCTCCCCCATGTATATTATACCTAATTCCCTCCTGTTCATACTGTCATATTTATTTGTATATATTCACCACAATCTACACTGTAATATACTGTATAGTGTCTATATTGTATATACTCTACATTCTGTATATATGGCACTTGCTGCTTCTTGCACTTCTGATTAGATGCTGAAAGGCCTGAAATTGCCAATGACTGAAAGGTTTTTCATTCTGCACTCTGCTCTCTAATTCAGTGCCTCTCTCTCTTTAAATTTATGATGATTATGTATGTTTTGATTTGTTTGTATTGTGATTTTAATGTATTTCTTATTCTGTAAAGCACTTTGAATTACTTTGTGTACAAATTGTGTTATACAAATAAACTTGCCTTGCCGAGATGCTAAACAACATTTTGTTACCTTGTATTTATACATGTGTAATGACAATAAAGTTGAATCTAATCTAATCAAGTATTGACTGTAAAGTTTATATCAGGGGCAAACTCCTCAGACTCAACAAAAAGGTTGTCACATTTCCTCCACTGCTTCAAAGGATGTAGAATGACACGAAAGTTTTCAAATGTCTAATAATAGTCCACTACTGCAAAAAGGACCCATCCCAACTTTAGAAAACTGTTCATTAAGGATGATAAAACTTGGTCATATTGTTGTGATTTTTCGTTATTTATTTAGTCATTCAAATTTAATCCATATGTGATTTGTCAGTTTAGTCAGTCAAGACTAACTAGGCTATGTTTTAGATTACATTTAGATTAAAGATGGTACTTAGAGCCAATAACTTGTGGAAAGATGGAGAATCCCCATTCTATCTCAGTTTTCATCTTTTTGTTCTTTCTGCTGCATGACATCACTGAGAGAAAAAGTGACAAATGCGATTTGTTCAAGTTCTGATTCTACCCCACATTCCATCAAACCAGAAAATGTATTTTTATCCCCATGGTAGGCCAGGTCTGAGTAGCCACTGGGTCCACTGTGGATGATCTTAGGCGTTTCCCACATAGATGGGTGCAGAGGAGAACGGTTTAAATACACACCCATATCTCTCCTGGTGCACTTACGGGTGGGGTGCATGAAGAGGAGCCATGTTTGGGTATCTGGGGAAGATTCTGGAGCGGGAAAGGCAATGATACTGCCCTGACAACCTTTAGGGGGCTCCACCAGCTCACTGGCAAAGCGCACTTGGTCAAAACGCACACCACTGTTCTCACTCAGAGCCTCACATCGATGGCCTTTTGTTATGGAGCGAGCATTGCAGTAAAGATGGCGCTTACCTTCATGGTCAATTATTTCTGCCATCTCACATTCACATGAGGATTCTCTCACCATCTCACCCAGTTGCCATGTCTTGCCAATGTCTGTGCTGTATATGGCCAGGGCACGTGGGTAGACAGTGCCACAAATGGGCGCCAAAACAGAAAACCACCTGTATGGAATGTAATAGGCATAAGCTGGGATGATCAGTCTCCCATCCTCCAGCTGGACCCCATGGCCCGGACCAACCCCAAAAGTGGCCCAATTTTTGATAGTCTCACCAATCACAGTCTCTGTTAAGTCTGTCACATTGCTCCATGTTTGGCCATTGTCAGTGCTGGTCACATAACACAGTCGTGTTTGGTTTTTACCTGTACAGATTTGTTCGGTCTCTGTAACGTTCATCCAGACGCAAATAAAAAACAAGAAGACTGTGTTACTCTTTTTCTCGTACACAGGACAGGGATTCATTGTGCGGTGGTTTGGTAAAGTGGCTGATTGCAGCTCCTGTGTTGACGACCACTAAAGAGAAAAACATGACAGAGTCACTGCTGAGTGTAATGACTGTATAAAGCCACTCCTCTGATGGTCGCAGAATACAACTATTCAAAATATTCAGGAAGGTTCATCATAACAGTTAACAGGTTTTGACAGTTACAGATGCTGATAAAGACAAAAATATTATCAAAAATTTTGGATTTTAATCTAGATTTAATTATAAAATTTAGGTGACTGTTTGATCTGTTTGTTTGCTGTGAAAAGGCTGAAGAAAGTGACACCTCATGTTGTCACATTTGAGCTTTATGAAAACATTTTTGAGCATATGTGTAAGATACAGACAACAGGCTGCTCTAATCTCATCAAACACCAGGCCTAATCAATAACACCTTTATTATGAATTTATAGACTATTCAAGTCAAATTGTTGATTTTACCTCAACAGATCCGTCCTCTGTCATTGTTCCTCTCCTCATTACCAGGATCTTGGCTTCGTTGTCACTGGACGACAACCTCTTTTCAGCGAAGGCGAGAAAAGTCTGGACTTCCTGCAGGTAGATGAGTGCAGGGATCCTGTATGTTATGCCACTTTGCTCTTTTTCAAATAAAATTGTTTTGGTCGGTTCATCCATAGTGGCATTTTTTGAGGCTCTGTTCCCCATGGTTGATACAGAGTCCTGCATGCACAAAAAAGAAGAGAAAGAGACACTGTGACTGAATCCTGTGCAGGAAACATCTGGAGAGAATATACCAGGAAGAGTTCACACAGACAGACAGGTAGACAGACAGACAGACAGATAGACAGATAGAAAAGTTTTACTGATTCCCAAGGGAAAATTCAGTATATAAAAACATTTTTTTTAAAGAGAGAAGAGTGAAGTGTATCTGAGGTGCAGCCTGCTGTCAGTTGCTCTGCATTTCCAACGTCACGGAACCGCCACAACTTTCATTTCTGAACGATACAGGAGGCTACACTTGTCACATTTGTCCATTTTGTTGACTACAAAGCTCAGTGACAGTTGCTATAATAAAACAGATCCCCGACAATCTCAGAGATGATCACAGCTGTGAGGTGAAACTGACTGAGAGACAGAATAACAGTTTTCTGGAGGCTAATATTCATTTCATTATCGTTTTTCTATAAATGATCAGATCTGTTTAAGTTAACCACCCTGCTCTATAGCCATGCTCCTGTGAGGTACTGCGGTTGAATTGGTTGGATATTGGATACTGGACAACTTGTGATGTCTTCATAATCATCCAGGGTATATATCACAAGACAGTAATTATTAAAAAAAATAATAATCTACCATTGACCATTGTCAATTTACATCACAAGTTAATTGAGTGTTGAATTCACAAAGATGCATTCAATCAGCTCATAGTATGATTTTTCTTGTGATATTTACCTTGGATGATTATGAAGACGTCACAAGTTGTTTGAAAAAAAATCTGTGGTAAGTTAAATGTCTTTGAATGTGTTGAATATCCAATATCCAAATATCAAACCAACTGAACCGCGGTGAGGTCTGTGAGGCTGATGTGGAGACAAAACGGAGTCTGATGCGTCTGATAAATGAAGTTTTTATAAGCAAGAATCAGTCAGTTATTGTTGGTAGGTCTTTAGAGGCAGATTAAAGTCACTGTGCCTCAAAGGTCTAGGAAAAAATAAAAGGAAATCAGATCTCCACACCCAGAAAACAAATGCCTCTCACTTCTGGATTTCCACGAAGCCATGGGGTGATTAAAATATTACGGTTATTTTTTTAAGTCAGACTTCCTTAGGTCTAAACATTTGTCTACAACTCCGTTGCTCCCTTCTATCAGTCTAATATCTATTTTATGTCTTACCACGCACGGACTTCTGTTGTGTCGCGGAAAGGTGAAGTGTCCAAACTGAAATGCGTAGTCGAGCCTGAGCCACCGAGAGGAAACTGATCTGGTCAAAAGAAATAGTGGCCTAATACTACACAATCAAATAGGTTGACCTATGCCCTTTTCTAAAATGCAAGACTGTTTCCCAAGGCTCAGTTAGGACATTGTCCCTCTGTCTTATCTCCTCTGTGTGTAAATACCTGTGTGACAGTGAGAAGCTGAAGGCAGTTAGTACATAAATGAGGATGTGGCTGGTCTGATCTGGCAACTGTGACTCTGTGACAACTGAAGCCTACAGTTTACATAAAAACTTCAGTCAACTCTCAACATGTATTTTGTCTGAATATCCCATATTTTACTGTACTACAACTACCAGAAACTAAAAGAGGAGCAGCATCTCATACTGACTGTATTATGTGTTACTCAAACATGTCTAAGCCAAAGGAAACAGCACATGTTTTGGTAAAAGCCATTTTCTGTTTGATTATTTTTACTGGGATTCACACCTGAGGTTTTCTGAAACTTGTTTCAACATCTTTAACTTGAGCAATGGTCGCTTTTCAGTTTCATTTCATGATAAGTTTGGATTTGGAATAAACCTCTTTGAGTTTGCCATCATGATTCGTTCCAGTGATTCTTTCTTGGATTTTGACCTGTGCACTGCATTGGCTTTATGGACATTTGAATAAAACATTAACTGGCAACTAATTCGTTATTTCTGTCCATGTCTTCATTACCCAAGTCAATCGACATTATTCATAAATCACAAAATAAAGGTGGACTTGAGCATTATTGAACATTAATGAGGATATTTTATTGTTGACTGAGTCATCGTGTCTCTGAACATTTAGTTTTACTCAAGTTTTAAACAATGAAAAACAGAAATTGAAGCAGAAATAAAAGGATCCAGAAGTCTTTTTCTTTTCAACATTCAATTGAACCAACAATATTGGAACAAAATAGACAATAAAATAATTACAAAAAGATTAGAAATTATACAAAACATGTCAGAACATTTCAACCTACAAGGCAACTCCAAAAAAATGTCTTGTGACCCACCTGAGGGTTGTGACTCAAGTCTTTGGGAAACAGTGTCTTAGAGAACATTTTCTGCATTTCATAAATGACAGAAACCAGCCAGAGGAGAGAACTGCATCTTACAAAATATATCATTCATGACTGCATAACATTCACTAAAAGGAGATCTCTTTGTTTGTTTTTGAACACAAACCCCAGCGGCTTTTGAGTCTCACTGAGGTATAAAGGGATTTAAAGTTCGAGAAGCGGTTGAAGACTCACACAGCTCTGATCTGAATTTTAGATGCAAGAACAAATTTTCTTACAGCCTTAGACATAAAAGGCATTTGACTTGCAGTATTTCACAAAAAATATGTATCTGGTGCAGTGTAATGTACTTTGAGCACAAACAGCACTTCACACTTTGTACATGGACTCTAATGCATTTAGTAAGGCAGTTGAAAACACTTGTGAATTATGAACACTGTACGAAATGTGCTGCTGTGAGTCAAATTAAATAATGTACACATTTTGAGCACTATGATGCAGGAAAATATTGTGTAGAATCTATTACGGATATTATAGACCACATTTGTGGGCTGGATACATAATTACTGACAGCTTTCTCATAGCACCTCACTATGTCTGACACCTCTGGGGTCAATCAAATGGGGGCGACAACAGCAGTGACCTTGTGTCCAACAGTGCAGCGCTGAAAGAGCAAAGCAAAGGAAACCAAACATCACTAATACTTTGAGTGCAATACTGAAAACATCTGCAAAACACATGATGCACTGGCAGCTCCAACAGAGGACATTCCCAAGGTCAGTCTCAAAGCAGAAAGTGTAACTCTAATAGGCGAGTTTCAGCTGACATCATTGTTATTAAAAGCCCGCGTTGCATGCTGGGAAATATTTTGGTCAGAGGCAAGAAACACGATAGCGGTCAAACACAGTGCGTAACCTCGCGTATTTATCTCCGATAATGGTAAATTCCTGCTGCATTATCGGATACACAAATAGAAGCACGGAAGAAGGAAAATGTCTTTTTCGTATTCTGAGTGAAAAGAACAGCTAACGGTGAATTAAACGGCTTTCAAACATTTGCAGAGAAAACTTAGAAGATCCTAGCAAACCATGGACAAGTTCAACAACACATCGAGACTCTTGGAGGTTTTCATCTTTTCTGCTGTGAATGGCCCAGGAGTTTCCACCAAGTCATTGTGGATATCACCCAAGTGAATATTTGTCCAGGTAGTTGGTGATTCTGACCAGAACTTTGGTTTGGTCCACCTTTTGTAGGGGTTGAAAAGGGTGATTTGGCATCTGTCGATGCTTATGACCAATTTCTGGTCAAATGGTCTTGGGTCCTCTGCCGTTAGAGTGGATAAATAACCGGGATCAATACCCTTTACGTGCTTTCTTGCTCCGTCCGTCATGTTGAATTAGTGTTTCTTGCCACCGACCAAAATAATTCCCAGCATGCAACGCGCACTTTTGTCAACAATGAAACTCGCCTATTGAAAAACACAAAGAATACTGTTAGCCTTTAAAAACTGAGTGAATATAATGTTTTGTGGTTGATTCAAATATGTAAAAATACATTAAGATTACCAAGCAGAATGTTAGTACTCATCACATTGTGGTATCGTAGCATTAAAAGTAGAGCCCGAACGATATGGATTTTGTTGTTGCCAATATGATACCGATATACTGGGAGTTGGAGCTGCCGATAGCCGATATATTTCGTGATGTAAAAATTCACTGTAAGTCTTGAATTATTAAAAAAAAACTTAGGTTTGGCTCTGGTGGTTTTTAAACTGGTTTATTTAGGCAACATTTATTGTTATTTTGCCTCTTTACATGATATGTCTTAGGACTAAAGCAGGTCTAAGGCAGGTCTAAAGCAGGACTAAACCAGAACTGAACCAGAACTGAACCAGAACTGAAAAAGGACTAAACCAGGACTAAAACAGATCTAAACCATGTGTAAAACAGGACTAAACCAGAACTGAACCAGGATTGAGTGTCGGGACTCGGTCTCTATCTCTCTCCCTCTCTCGACCCAAAGATAAGTCCTGGTTTATTTATTTTATGCTGTATATATATATGCACGTTTTTTTATCCTATGCACACGCATATTTTTGAAAGTTTCGTTTTTAGCCGCTGCCGCTGTCAAACTACCAAGAGTCTTCACGCGGTGTGAAGAGAAAAAAGTGAGAAAGAGAAAACATGGCTCCCAATCCCAATAAGGAGGAGGCTCCCATCGTTCGCTTCAAAGAGCCGGCTCTAAGAGCCTCTTCGTTCGCGACCGACACGTCACTACTAGCCTAGCTAGTAAATAATCAATCGCTATTAGCCTTTAGCCGTAAATGCTGCGCGCCGCGGTAATTAATTATATGCGCAAATGTCATAATTCACACGTCTATTCACAGCTCATTTACATATCAATGCAGGTCCAGTAGCAAATATACGGTCAATATAGTCACTTTACAATAGACCAATAGAAAACAGCCTGTTTATGTGTGGGAGCTACAGCAGCTAATCGCTAACCTATCAGAACGAACCAAAACTAGATGTATTTCCAACACTCAGCGCATCACAAGTCTGCACTAATAAATGTCCTTTTAATCCAGACTCAAACCGATTGTCCGTAAAAAGAAAATAATCTCAGTGTTGTGCACATGGATCTATGTCTGCGGGTGTAAACAAAGGCACGTGAGTGAAGTGACGAGACTCTGTGGTGTGTTCAGGGACAGTATGGACACACACACACAAATGACTCCGCAGATAAATACTGATGTGGAGCCACATATTAGGACATTTATCTGTCTGTAAATTGGATTAAATTAACATAATGTAGAGAGTCTAAACTTTTTAACAAGGTATAACGTGCCCACGTGAAATATCGGCCCCTATCAGCAAGCATATCGGCTGATAGCTGATACGCTTCCAGTTGCTCATATCGGCCAACCGATATATCAGTCGGGCTCTAATTAAAAGTACAAAAATAAGCAGGCATGAGATGTGTATCAGCTTCAGTTCTCTTACTCACAAGGTAAGTGTTTCGTCCAACTTTTCTCATCATGGTCATTGGTTCTGTGAACTTTGGTGATCCTTTGAAAACGTGTTCTGATCTGTGAACATGAACAGTGTCACTCACTTTGAATGTTGGTGGTTTTGCTCGCATTCTCTTGTCGGTGTATTCTTTCATTCGGTTCTGTTTCCTTTTCAAAGTCTCTTTGATTTGCGCATGTGTTTTGTTTTTATTTGCTACGGGAAGAATGTTCAGTTTGGTGCGCATTTTCCTGTTTCGGAGTAGCTTGAATAGAGTTGCACCAGTAGTTGCATGTGGAGTGGCTCTGTAGTTGTGCAAAAACTCTGTAACTCTCTTTCCACGGTTTGCGGCTTCTTTCAGTTGTCTGTATGCACTCCTTCAGTACTCTATTAAATCTCTCAACAGCACCATTTACTTTTGGGGGGTACACACTACCTCTCAGGTGCTGTATCTCTTTTTTAGAAAATTTGCAAATGCATGAGATGTAAACTGACATCCATTATCGGAGACTAAGAAATTTGGATTACCTTCCCTACTGAACACAGTGGCTAAAAATCGAATTACAACATCTGCAGTGACAGTAGAGGAAAATGCAACTTCAGGCCATTTACTGTAGTAGTCTGTGAGTACAATGGCATAGCAGAAATCCCAAGAAGCATTTTCAAATGAACTGTAATGTCTATAGCAACTTTTTCCCATGGCCTTCTTGGCAGATCAACTGGTTTAAGTGGAGCAGGAGCAGTAACAGCAACTTTATCACTGAACTGGCAGGTAACACAAGAGGCAATGACAGAGTGCACCAACCTGTCTAGCAGTGGCCACCAGTAAAGCTCACACAATCTTTGTTTGGTACGGACAATACTTTGGTGTCCCTCATGTGCCAAATCAACTACTCTGGCTCGAAGTGAAATGGGAACAACTAAGCGATCAATCCCTCTCAAAATGAGTGAATCATGTACTGAAAGCTCGTCTCGTACCTGAAAATATGGTGTAATGTTCTCTGGTAGGGCTTTTTTGGATTTGGGCCAACCTTT